ATTGTAGAGCTGAAAGAGAGATGTACAGGAGAATATATAAAAGAGAATATATTATAAACTTTACTAAAATTTAAAATTAATATTGAACAAATATACACAATTACTTCTGATAATGGTTGTAATTTTTAAGAGCTATAAAGCTCCTGCAACCTGAAACTGATTATGATATAAGGAGTGAATCAGCAGATGAGGAAAATATGGATGTAAATGTTATAAATATGATATTGATGATATACAAAATACTTTTTTATCAACTATTATATCCTATCCGATTTATAGTGTACGGTGTGCAGCTCACACACTTCAGCTGGCACTTCAAGATGCTATAAAATTATCACCTATTGTGGAAACCATTGCAAAAGCTAGGAGCCTAAATTTAAAATTAAGACATCCCACTTACCAAAAGTTATTAAAAAATATGAAAATCCCTAAGCCTGTGTTAGATTGCCACAGATGGCATTCAACCTATGATATGTTAGAAAGGCTGATTTTACTAAAACCCAATATCGAAGATTTTTTTTCAGAGCAATCTGATTATTTATTGACTGAAGATTGGAAAGAGATAATAACGATTGTTAAAATTTTAAAACCGCTAAAAATCGCAACCAAACAATTCCAATCTGAACAGTTAACACTGACAGATTTTTATGCAGCATGGTTAAGATGCTGCATCGAACTGGAAAAAAATCCAAACCATTTTGCTCAATTACTATATTCTTGTCATAAGAACAGATAAGAAAGGTTTATAAAGAACGAAATTCTCTTAGCTGCCATATACCTGGACCCAAGATACAAGGTTTATTAAAAGCTTAGTAAATTAATTATTTTAGATTTATATTAAAATTGTTATTTTATGGAATATTTAAATATAAACAATATAAATCCTTAAATATTACAGGTATTACTTAGTGATGATAAGATTTGTGCGAAAAGGCATCTTGTCAATTTATGGACACGAATTAAAAGCTTAACAACGCCGATTTTATCTGATGATATTAGTTCCGATGAAGTTATTGAACAAGAAGATGATTTAGAGAAATTGATACAACTTAAAGAAAGGCAGGAGAAAATACTTAAAAGAGGGCCAACGATTGCTGAGAAAAGTATTGGAACAATAATTACTGGATTTAGCGATTATAAAAGATTAGATAAGAAGGAAAATATTTTGCATTATTGGGTATCTGCTAAGCTGGAACACCCTGAATTATATATTTTATCTAAAATCTTATTTGATGTTCCTGCAACCCAAGTTAATTTATCATATTTTCACATATAAATACATTTAACAAAGGTTAGCGTTGAAAGATCTTTTTCACATTTGAAATTCATTCTTTCACCACATAGATCGAGGATGAGTGAACAACTCTTGGAAGATATTATGCTAATACGTCTAAATAAAATTTTTAAAATTGATACATGACTATATGCTTTGTATTTTTAACTATATTTGCCTATAAATAAAATAAAAAATTTATTTTTTATATCAAATTTATGTCTAGTTTTTTATTATGATTTAAATATAGAATTTTTTTTATCAACTCAAAAATTCTTGAACCCGAACCGAACCAAACCCGGGTTCAAAAATATTTCCCTGAACCGAACCCGAACCCACCTTTTTTTATACCCCGAACCGAACCCGGGCAAAAATTTTGTCGGGTTCGCATCCCTGCTTAAGTCTATAATTGGGTTATGGCTAAAGATAGGCTAATTCGGCTTAATTTCCAGGCGCGAGTCAATCAAAATATTTGAGGTATGAAGCGTTAGTTAATTTAGTTTAGCTGTTTTTTTAGCTCTCTTGAAATTGAGCAATTATTTTAAGAATATCAAGCTACCCATATATTAAAGAGCACGACAGGGATGAAATAAAAACATAAAAAAGTTACAAACAATTCATTAATATTTGGCAAGAAATTTTTAACTTTTTCGAGTTAGATTCATTTGTCATTATTCATTTATTTTTATAAACTATGCATTTTAAAAAAAGGGGGGGGGGAAGTGAGTAGCTATTGGCCCATTATTTTTATATGAGTGTGTAAAACGAAAAATAACAATGGTAACCAAACACTTGTATCCTCGTACATAAACTGTTTGACTTAGGCTAAACAGAATTAAGTATCAAAAAATAAGTCACACTGGACACGGTCTATGGCCTTTTAACCCTAATCATAACCTCTTCCAAGAGGTAGTATCAGAAAAATATTGATCCCGTAGGGAATCGAACATTTTTAATTATAATAGCTCAATAAGGTACCCACTAGGGTTGTAAAATCCCGATTCGGGTCTATTTTAAAAAACAACCCGATATTTTAGCTATGTAAGCCTAGAGATTTAGAAAATAAAGGTCCAAATCTTTCTGCCATGAGCGAAATCTTCCAGACTTACAAAATATATTTTTAGCTAAAATTTTAATCGGGCCGTTTTTAAATCGCTCCGAATCAGTTTTTAACAACTATAGTTACACACTTACCCATCCTAGAATTTTATATATGTTGTATAAATCAACCAAAAAAAGTAGACTCTCAACCCGACCCCCCTTCGATTTTTTTAAAAATTTGCATGTTGGTAGTATATACACTAACTAATAAAAATGTAAAATTTTACTTTTCAAATCGCCTTACTTCATGAGATATGGCCATCTTTAGAAAGGCGGAAATTCCAAAATACACTATATTTAAATATTTTAAAAGTAATTAAGCTAAAGAAATGATTTAAATTTTTTCAAATAGCTATAGAATAGCTCTTTATTATGATATAAAATTTATTTTATTGAAAAAAAGTTTATTACCAAAAACCGGAAATGGCTATAAAATAAAAATTGCTCTTTTTTTTTCTTTTAAATTTTCAGATAGACATTATACTTCTTAATATTTGTACAAAATCCTAGATTGGGACGAGTACTGGGCCAAAAGTTATTACACTTTAAATATAAGTAGTATGGCTTAAATCCTATATTATACCAAATATATAATAATTTACGAAACAAATAAAAAGAAAATTCGTTTGGGATCGGGCCGAATATATTTTTTTATAAATCTTTCTGGCCGTGTTAGAAAAATTAGGCCCTATGCAGATCACTAGTAGACATTGTGTCATATTTAGCACATAAGTTTAGCTATTTTATTTTAGAAGGAAAATAATTGTAAAAGCATTTATAACTTTATTTAGCTAATTAATGGGAAATTAATATTCTAATAAACATATTAATTAAATAATATCATACATTAAATAATCTAATGAATTAAATTTGACTTTCATTTTTCATTCCATTGGAATAAATGAATGATATTTTTGTGTCCCGGGAATTCGTTGGGCCATTAGAAATCTATTTTCAAGATTGATTTTCATTCTTAAATATTCTACGTTGCTAACAAATATATAATTAATTACCGGGATATTGATTCTAGAATAATTATATAAGTCAATAGGAGTTATTATATGATTTTCATGAGGATGTTGCAGGCTTGCTCTAGCCGCCAACCTCTTAGTAATTCCCCTTAAACTATCGCAAGGAGTTTTGCCATGTGCAGTTGCAAAAAAATGCCATTCTGCCTTGATCCCAAAATCATTATAATGGTTGTAGAGGTTTACAAAGTTTTTTTTTGTTTTTATACTGGGTAACAGCTCCATCAGAAAAATAAATATTATTGAAATCTTATAAAATCTTTCTTTCAAGAATAGAATTAATTTTATTTGAAATAAATGAAAGGAACAAGTATTGTGTTTGAGACAATCTGATATAATCACGTAACTTAAATTTTTGATGTTATCGCCTTCGCGGTGTGCCAAATATAATTATTTTATTTTAATTAATTATTAAGTAGATTAAAATAATCTTTAAAATGAAAATATATTTCTGACGATCCAATAATAATTAATTATCTGGCAATGAAAAATAAACTTCATCATTCACTCACAGAGTTGCCAGGTCAAAAAATCTCAAATTTAAAAAGAAATTTGGGACGAATATAATCTTTAAGTTGGGGTGAAGAGATTATTTAGCTCACTTTTTATTATCATAGTTGTTACTTTATTACTTTTTACAAAATCTTATTATTTATTCCTTATAATGTCTCCAAATCAAGGCGTTTTGTGTTATATTTAAAATAATACAATACAATTTGGTAAATGTTGTTTTGAGTTTTTTTAACATTTAATAAATGCAAAATAATCAGATTTTTTAGGATTTTAGTTTTAATGCTATTATTCACATATATTGCCTCCTTTTTTTAAAAAAATAATTACTCTATATTTGGTATAATATAGGATTTAAGCCATACTACTTATATTTAAAGTGTAATAACTATTGACCCAGTACAAGTCCCAATCTAGGATTTTGTACAAAAGAAGTATAATGTCTATCTGTAAAAAAAATTTAAAAGAAGAAAAAGAGCAATTTTTATTTTATAGCCATTTCCGGTTTTTGGTAATAGACTTTTTTTCAATAAATTAAATTTTATATTAAAGAGACATTCTAGAGCTATTTAATAAAATTAAAATCATGTCTTTAGCTTAATTACTTTTTGAGATATTTAAAATTAAATATAGTGTATTTTGGAATTTCCGCGTTTCTAAAGATGGTCATATCTCATGAAGTAAGCTGAGTTGAGAATTAAAATTTTATATTTTTACTAGTTAGGATATATACTACCATCATACAAATTTTAAAAAAAATCGAAGTGGGTCGGGGTTGAATCTTCAGTTGATTTGATATGGAATACAACATATCTTGTTATTTTATAAAAAAAAATTAAAAGGAAAACACCTCAGAATAATGTCTCATGACGATATTAGAAAAACAAAAAGGTAAAAAAAAACCTTGATATTTTATATTTTTAAAACAAAAATATGCATAATATTTTATTAATTTAAATAATTTATCGACAACTTGATTCTATAAATGAATATTTAAATAAAAAAGTCAAGTCAAGTGAATTGAATAATATATAATATTAAATTATTATTTTTTTAAAAAAGCGTATAATTTTGTCTAATAGATCAATGTTAAAATAGGAAAACAATTTGGACAAAATAATTTTATAAACTATTAACCTAATTGAGCTGTTTACGGAATATAATATTTACTATTAAGTAATAATTATTATTTAAAAATTTAGATAATAAAGCGTGAAATATGTGAGTGTGATATAAAAAGTAAAAATGATTCATATCATTTAAAATATCGTGACAATCAATAAATATTTCTACCATTCGGCCACATGTTTTTCTTTACAATACTGCCCATTAGGATTGGATGCATCGTCGGGTGGTAAAGTGGCCAAATACACTGGTGTAATGGCTCCCTGTTCGATAGAGAGAGGTCCTTTATAACTAGACATATTAGTGGAAACATAGCCTGGACAGCAACAGTTAATGAGAACGTCCCGCTTATCTGGAAATTGGCGGGGAAAGTCGCGAGCCATTATAGCTGTAGCAGCTGTGACGCCAGCCTTGGATATCCCGTAATGAGAGTTGCCCCAGCCGAGGGCAGCCCAAGCTTGAGGATCCTCTGCGCTAGTTTCTACTTCTGATTCGTATCGGCGCATCAAAGATTCTAAGTGGTCCAGGGTCATGGTAGAACGTGCCGTATAAAACTCTTCTCTCTTGGCATGATTAGGGATATTTCGGAGGCATCCGCAAGTGCTGGACACGTTAACAACGCGAGCGTGATTTCTGAGAAGCGGGAAAAGGGCTTTGCAAAGATTCAAGGTGCCCCAGAAATTAGTTTTGAGGGTATTCCGAGCCTGTTCTAAAGCAGGGGCATTCGAGTCTCTTTTATAAGCTATACCCGCATTATTGACTAATATATCCAAGCCCCGGTATTTTTCCCGCAAAAATTCCTCGCAATTGCGGATAGAGTCCTGGCAAGTAATGTCCAGTTGGTGAAAGACCTTCGGTTTAAAGGATTATCCATAAATAATATATTTTTCAAAATTAAATAATTGTTTAGAATCCTTATAAAAATTAGCCTGCTTTTTTTAAAAAAATATATAAATCCTAAATTGGCAAATTTAATCAAGTAATAACCTTTGAAAGCATTCGTGAAAAAAAGCGAGATTATTCGTGGAGTGAGTAAGAACCCTGATTTTTAAATTTTTAACTGTTATTAGTATACCTTTTTTATTTATCAAGATATTTATAAAATATAGTTAAGAATTCTTATATCTGTCGGATTGGAATATGGAATCTCTCAAATTTATGTCTTTTACAGGGGCCATTTATAAATATGAAAAATCTGATTTCACTGGAAATATATTCGAGCATGTCTAGGTTAGCTACCCTATAAAATTCAGACCATTCTCGCCATAAACATTTGTGTATATTTCATTTATATAAATTAAATGTATTTTCAGGAGTTTGGAGCAACATTGTCTGAAATTCACAGTGTGTATATTCTGTACATGTTGGAATGCCTTTCCGGTCAAATAAGATTTTTTATATTTAAAAATGGCTCTCAGTAAATTAGAGATCCTAATCTTCCGATCATTAAAAAACTTATAATTTTATATCCTTTAACCAAAATACCCCAATTGTATTGATTGAAAGTATAATATTTTTGATAACTCAAAAGAGACATCTTTAAAAGTAAACTAGATTATACATACAATATTGATTAGTTAAAATTTTTGAGTTATTGAAAAATCCAAACTGTCATAATTATAGGAATTTAAGTAATCACATTTTTTTTAAAAAACTTCAGGGTCGGTATCAAGAGTTGAGCCTCTAAAAAACTTTAATTTTAAACTATGAATTATAACGTTAACTACTGATAACTTTTAGCAATTTTTTTTCAAAAATCTTGTGAAGGAAATTCAATATTTTGAACGTGAAACATATAATTTGGGACTTTTATCAGATTTATTTTTATTTTCAAGTCTCATCTGACTTGCTATTTTCTATATTCAAGTCTGATATGACCCAAAATATTATCTGCAGAAATAAATCTGCTCTTGAATCTATGTATATTTTTTTTAAAGTAGTAAAGTATAAGAATTATAATAAAATTTTTTTCGAGATTAGATTCCGAAACGAATAGGGAATGCATATCTAGGTTCGATCAACAGGTTCGCGAAGGTCTATTAAAATTAACTTTTAATAACGCCAACACACATCATAATATATTTCGGTAAATCATTCATTTCAATCAAATAACCGGTTTAAGTCCCTTAGCCTGAAGCCGAGCTACCGCTTCTTGGCCTTTCTCCTTGTCGCGAGAGGTCAACACCACGTCCCCTTCGAAGCAATGGCAGAGCGCTTCAACTATGGCGAATCCTATGCCTTGGTTTGAGCCAGTGACCAAAGCCACTTTTTTGCTGATGGCCATAGTGTAATAAAGAAATATATGAGATTTCCGTTAAGGTGGGAGCCTTTTTTTTGATAGTTCAAAGTAATATATATAATACACCTCATTTTAATATATGGATGCAAAATGTGTTTCAATCATACTATTTTATAGATTAAGCTTAACAAAGATCATTCCTAAATTCCACGACAAAATTGACCAAAAAAACACGATTTTCTGACACCAATTATTTTAGTATCTAAGCTTTTTTTAATGGAAATGACATAACACCTTTTTATTTAATTTTGAATTTAAGGGTATAGTTGGCTAGTTAAAAAAAAATTAAAATGTTATTTTGCGATAAAACTAGCAAACTAACATCCACTTTAATTATAAATATAATATTATAAATATAAATACTAAAACATTATAGTATATTGAGAAATAAAATAAAACGCTGTTTCTATTAAATTTCGTGGACAACCGAAAGAAGTTTCTGAATACTTGATTCATGGCTAACTATATCTTTTCCTCAATGGCAAGGAATGTTGACGATAGTGAGGGTTTTATGTACAAACGACATTTAATACTTAATGCATTTGAAAGCGTCGTTGAATACAATTTAGCTGGTGACACACCATTTTGGTTTCCCGGAAAAATAACAGGTTTCATATAATTTTAAATGTAAATTGTTTATGGAAAATAAAATGGCAAGCCACCAGCTGATTTGTATTGATATATATATTTAAACGCTTTGTCATTTGTGTGGATGCAGGTAAGAAATTACGCAAGTTACATATAATTTTTTTTTGTACGCGCAGGCATCACATGTTCATACAAGATAGTCGTCATTTTATCGTACCGTTGAGGAAAAGCTATCGTTATCGATTAGTCAAATAATAACGATTGTATGTCCAGTAACATCTATAGAACTTAGTTTTTAGTAATTCCCAGCAAATTCTATTGGTATCCTAAAATAAGTTTCTTTAACCTTTGTCTTCGCAGGCAATTTATAAATGTGCCTACACATATTTTATAAAAATAATGCTCTTTTATTGATAAAATCCACGGATATGCGTATTTTTATTTGCTATCCAAAAGTTATTCATTTCATTTAAAAATATGTGCAATGGTTTATGGATGAATAGTGTCTTAAAACAGATAGATCAAGATTTTAACCAAAACAATTACTATTTAAGCTTCAAAATTTCTCTAATAGATGCCAAAGCCTTTCTGCTATCAGTGGGAAAAATCTCAAAGGTTGGTTTTGGCTAAAACATTGAGTTAGCCGTTTTTAAATTTGGCTAAATTGAGCAGTTTAACAACATTACATGAATATGTCTCGATAGATATTTTAAAACCTTTTTCTTGTTGCAGATAATTTAACATTATAATTTTAGTTACTCTGTCTTATAAAATAATTCGATTTTTAAAAAAAACCTTACAGATAAATTGAATGGTTCCTTTCATAAATTTATTATTATTGTTGAAATATTGATAACCTCAACATTATTTTTATAAAATTTTAATACTGCTATATTGACTTATAAATGCTAATTATTTTATGTTAAACATTTTATAGGAATGATATTTAATCTATGATACCATTAATTATATTTTTGGATATGTAAATTAACAATTAATGTTGATTATAAATTTAATGCAAATTGATTTTGAAAAAAAAATTAATAAACAATGTAAATTTTGAATAAAGTTAAAATTTAATATTAAAAATTACATTAGATTTATATTAATTTAAGGGGATAACAATTATGAAAATATATTTAAAAATTAATATATAATCATAAAATAACTCAGTTTATAAATTTTTACATATTTTTTATAAATTCATAGCATAATATTGATCCAATGTATTTGAAAATTAAAAAATCGTCTGCCTTTTAAAATTGAAGAAAACAGGAATATTTAAAACATGTTTTTAGCTTTAGGCCACATAATATATTCTTAAAGAATTTGGTAATTCAAAAATAATAATTGAAAAATTTTTTAATTGGAATAATTGCAAGAGAAAGAGGCAATTCTTATGATCAGGGATTCGAACCGAACCCGGAGAAGTGAACCCGGGTTTTTAAAAAAAAACTCTGAACCCGAACCGAACCTGAACCCCATTTATAAAATTTTCAAAACCCCGAACCGAACCCAAGAATTTTATTTGAACCCGGGTTCAACCGGGTTCAGTGTATTATTTAAAATCATATATTAATATATGTAAATACAAATATTATATTTTCAAATTTCCAATTAAATGAAGTGTTAATAAATTTTAAACAACTTAATTCATTTATGCCATTTTTTAATTTATTCTCGATTCCTATTGGAGTGTTAAAAAATTAAACAATTGAATTAATTTACGCCATTTATTTTTAAATTTTTATCTTATTATTCTTAAAGATTATTAATTAGAAAAAAATGGTTAACAAATCAAAGTAAAAATTATTATATTGTTAATTTAAAAAATTCTAAACATCTAACTTAAAAATTGTTAAATGTAGGGCAGTTTTTGTGAACTTATTAAAATGATTTTAAAATTTATATATGCTAATCATTTATTTTTGGTTCAGATTAATTTTTACAAGATATTAATGAAGTGCATATTATAAATGAAATTAAATTTATAAATATCTCTTTTTTAATTCTGAAATCATTGCTATTTAAAAAAATTGTTCTCTTTTTATAGATTTAAGATTAAAGATAAAGTCATATTTGATAAACATTTTACCCTTAATACAATAGAAAAAAAATAATATGTTCATATTGCAAAGTAAAAATGTCTGGTAATCACTTGTCAAATTTAGAAAGACACCTGGAAAGAAATCACAACAATGAATATTTAAATTATTTAAATGAAAAAACCAAATATCAGGAATTTTTATTGGCAAAAAAAACCTAAAATTAATATAGAAACCTTTTTTCCAAAAAAGCATATAAGTATAAATATATCATCTAATGATTTGATGAGTTCTATACTAGAACTTGTTACTGTAAATGGCCGGCCTTTATCAATTATTGAAGATTCGGGATTTCAAAGAATTATAAATCCACTCCTATCTGGGCTCAATTTGGTTATAAACAAAGAAAATTTATCCAGAACTATTAATAAAACAGCCCACAGCAGATGAGGAAAATATGAATGTAAATGTATATAAATATGATATTGATGATATATAAAATACTTTTTTATCAACTATTATATCCTATCCGATTTATAGTGTACGGTGTGCAGCTCACACACTTCAGCTGGCACTTCAAGATGCTATAAAATTATCACCAAAGCTAGGAGCCTAAATTTAAAATTAAGACATCCCACTTACCAAAAGTTATTAAAAAATATGAAACTCCCTAAGCCTGTGTTAGATTGCCACAGATGGCATTCAACCCATGATATGTTAGAAAGGCTGATTTTACTAAAACCCAATATCGAAGATTTTTTTTCAGAGCAATCTGATTATTTATTGACTGAAGATTGGAAAGAGATAATAACGATTGTTGAAATTTTAAAACCGCTAAAAATCACAACCAAACAATTCCAATCTGAACAGTTAACACTGACAGATTTTTATGCAGCATGGTTAAGATGCTGCATCGAACTGGAAAAAAATCTATACCATTTTGCTCAATTACTATATTCTTGTCTTAAGAACAGAGAAGAAAGGTTTATAAAGAACGAAATTCTCTTAGGTGCCATATACCTGGACCCAAGATACAAGGTTAATTAAAAGCTTAGTAAATTAATTATTTTAGATTTATATTAAAATTGTTATTTTATGGAATATTTAAATATAAACAATATAAATCCTTACAATAATTACTGGATTTAGCGATTATAAAAGATTAGATAAAAAAGAAAATATTTTGCATTTTTGGGAGTCTGCTAAGCTGGAACACCCTGAATTATATATTTTATCTAAAATCTTATTTGCTGTTCCTGCAACCCAAGTTAATTTATCATATTTTCACATATAAATATACATTTAACATAGGTTAGCGTTGAAAGATCTTTTTCACATTTGAAATTCATTCTTTCACCACATAGATCGAGGATGAGTGAACAACTCTCGGAAGATATTATGCTAATACGTCTAAATAAAATTTTTAAAATTGATACATGACTATATGCTTTGTATTTTTAACTATATTTGCCTATAAATAAAATAAAAAATTTATTTTTTATATCAAATTTATGTCTAGTTTTTTATTATGATTTAAATATAGAATTTTTTTTATCAACTCAAAAATTCTTGAACCCGAACCGAACCAAACCCGGGTTCAAAAATATTTCCCTGAACCAAACCTGAACCGAACCCACCTTTTTTTTATACCCCAAACCGAACCCGAACCGAACCCGGGCAAAAATTTTGTCGGGTTCGCATCCCTGCTTATGATATTTCTAAATATTCCATCTTAATATATAAGTTTTTATATTTTGTTACATTTTATTTATATAATGAAATTTATATTATTAAACTAGATTTTTAGTGCCCTCCATTTTAATATTTGTGTAACAAGGTTTTGTAGATGAGGTTCTTTAAAGGATGAGCCATAGCCCTACATGAAAATAAATAACTAATCATTTATGAGTATTGGCCACCTTCATTGTCCAAAATTTAAGGTACTTGCTAGAAGAGGTCTGCAGTGGGTGAGTTTTTAGCCCACCACATACTCAGAGGGCTAAAAGATTTAAACATTGGGCAAGTGAGTAGACATTAAAAAAAATACTTTTAAAACAATAAGCAGGTAAATTTTGTGGGTGATGAGCAAACAGGTTTCATATATTAAAAATCAGTTTTTTTAATTTCTAAATATTTTACATTTTATAAGCCAAAAAATAAATAAAGAGCCAAATCAACCATTAAAATAATTTTTAAACATTTTTAACTAAATGGGCAGATGTTCAAGGGATTTTTTTTAAAAAAACCATGTGAGTGGATATGGGCAAGTTTAAAAGAACAAAAAATGTGTTAACACTTGGTAAAGCCCCACTCTTGCTGCCCTTTAATGCGTTGCATATCCGGTTTCATTTTATTTTATCAAAATGAGCAATATTTTTACTAAAATTTAAGCTTAAGAAATAAAATTTTTATTGATAAGATATAAAAGTAAAAAATTAGATGTCGCACAGAGTTAAGTGTATATAAAATAAATTTTAGAAGCTAAGTTCTTGGATAAGAATATTGGTATAATCTCAAAATATGAGCATCAAAATAATCATTGAAAAACTATATTTATAAAAACTTTAAAAGGATAGGTAAAATTTAGTGTTGCCTTAAGAAAAAATTTGTAGAAACAATTATATATTCTTGAAAATTTTTACATTAAAAATATTCTGATAATTAATTTATAAAATAACCTAAAATAAGACATTTATATTAGAGTAAATAAATCTATGAAATATAATACTTGTGCAGGTAGTATTTAAAGGCAGAGGTTGCCCACAGAGGGGGGTAAATAGCATTTATAACGATAAAATTATATTTGCCCACCTGATTAATGATATTTGCCCCAGTGGGTAAATAGCATATATAACGAGAAAATTATATTTGCCCACTTGATTAATGATATTTGCCCCAGTGGGTAAATAGCAAAGTTGTTAAAAGATACTTTTTAAATGGATCTAGATACAGATACATCGTCTAAAAGTTATCAAGATACAGATACACCCTCTAAAAAGTTATCTAGATACAGATACAATTTTAAAAATGTATCTATATACAGATACAATTTTTATCTTATATAAGATTTGCATAAACCTAAATTGGTCATTAAGGCATCCTCGTTTATCTGTAAAGACATTTTTAGGGATTGTGGTGTTATATTTTATGAATAACAATTTTATATCAGGATATTCTTTAAAAATACTAATATAGACATTAATTTTAAAAAAAATGATTTAAAATTTGTTGAGTATCAAAATTTAAATCATGATTAACAAGCATACAGTTGAAAACCTTAATAATTCATCAACTAATCTTTGTATTAATAGTTTTTTTCATTCACAGTGTTGATGTTTTCTCTTAAAATTTAAAATTACAATTTTAAACATTTATTTAGTATCTAGATCCTTAAATGTTTTACAATGTTGCAAGTTGAGGTAATGCTAACTGAAATTTTCGTATTTTTTGGTAAACACTTAAAAATTATCTCAAAACAGATACAGATACCTCTAAAATAATATCTAGATACAGATACCTTAAATAAAAATCTATCTAGATACAGATACCACATTTTTATATCTAGATACAGTATTTAGATACTTTAACAACTCTGGTAAATAGCATTTAAATAAAATAATATTTGCCCCCCAATTTTTAAATATATTTTAGGCTTGGATTTTTTTAAAATCTAATATATAGATAACCTAAAGAAAATCAATATGAAAGAAAGGTCATAAATCATTTGAAATATATAAATTTAAAAAATCTTTTATCTTTGTTAATCTTATTAGAAGCATACCTGTTTATTTATTGTAAAGCTGGCAAATTAAAATCAATTTGATTTTTAAAAACATCAAATAAAATTTTATTTAGTAAATTTCATTAAAATCCTTAACATAGACAAAGACTTAGATTATTATATAATTTTTATATATGGATTTTTTTTAAAATCTTATTTATAGATAGCCTAAAGAAAAGCCTTAATTTTTTTTATTTTATGAAAGATAGGTCATGATTTCTAAAAATCTATATTTGAAATATATAAATTTAAAAAATCCTTTATCATTTTTAATCTCATTAATATCAAATATACATTTTGACATTTTTTTTATTTGATAATAAATACAACATTTTATAAAATTGATATTAAATAATATATATATATAGATTTTATAAGCTAAATATTATAAACGTTAATATAAAAAAATGAAATTAAATATTATAAAAGTTGGCATGTTCTATAAAACCATAATTTTTTTCTATGCTTTTTATTAATATTCTGGCACTGGAAATGGTACCAGTTTAAATAAATATCACAACAAATAGAAGAGCTTTCTAATTCCATTTGACATTCCCTGCACTTCCATATATCAATCTTTATCTCTTTCATAAGGCTCTCAATGTGTGAATATGCCTCATTAGCAATGTATGGAACAATTAAACTCACATCAACATCAATATTCTTCAAGCACTGCATATCAATTGTATGAAGCAAATGGACATCATTTTTAAAAATATCGTCCTTATTATATAATTTTTTTAAGGAAATGGGTTTGATGAATTTTTTTAATATCCATATGGCTTGCTCATCTTTCAGCAATGCTGAAAATGGTTTGACGTTTTCTGAGAATAAATATATAGGAATGTTGTAATAATATATATAATAAGGACGATATTTTTAAAAATGATGTCCATTTGCTTCATACAATTGATATGCAGTGCTTGAAGAATATTGATGTTGATGTGAGTTTAATTGTTCCATACATTACTAATGAGGCATATTCACACATTGAGAGCCTTATGAAAGAGATAAAGATTGATATATGGAAGTGCAGGGAATGTCAAATGGAATTAGAAAGCTCTTCTATTTGTTGTGATATTTGTTTAAACTGGTACCATTTCCAGTGCCAGAATATTAATAAAAAGCCTAGAAAAAAATTATGGTTTTGTAGAACATGCCAACTTTTATAATATTTAATTTCATTTTTTTATATTAACGTTTATAATATTTAGCTTATAAAATATATATATATATTATTTAATATCAATTTTATAAAATTTGAACGGTTTAATAAAAAAATGCATATCATTATGTTGTATTTATTATCAAATAAAAAAAATGTCAAAATGTATATTTGATATTAATGAGATTAACAATAAGAAAGGTCATAAATCATTTGAAATATATAAATTTAAAAAATATGAACCTGTATTTTTAAATCTTTAGCTTCTTGAATCAATGATAAATTTGTAGCTTCTTTTATTTTCAATAAAATTTATAATGTAAAATATATGAATATGAACCTGTATTTATTTTTTAAAATGGAGTTTAAAAAAGGCGCCAACGGGGCAAATATCCTTTGCGGTATTTAAATAAAAGTAAATTAGAAAGTAAGGTGACTGATAGATGTTTATTTGACAGGCATAGCTTCTAATTATCGAAATCACTAACCCGCTCCTTCGTCGCTGCAATATAAAGGTTTACAATTACCTTTCGGATTAACGTCTTGTTTTATCTTGACATTCTATTTTAACATTTGAATGTTCGGATAGTTATTTACATTTTTACTAAATATAAGAATCAAATAACTTTTATTCTATTATAATTTGATTCTTATATTATAATCTAATAAAATTTATAATCAGGGCTATAGCTGTAGTAAAGGAGTAATTTATTGTAATATTTTATTTACATATTATGTGTTTACTAATCATTATATATATGGTTATTTTATTATGTTTTATAATGTATGATAAGTATAATAATTATGTACGATAAACTTCCTATATATTATATATATGCATTTATCCATAATGGATGGCAAAAACCCAATTGTAAATAGCTACAGAAGAGGGCAGGGTGCTGACAAAAAAATTGGTCCTTAAGCCTAGCCTCCAAAATATTTTCTATTTGCTATAGAAAGCCTCCAAATATACAAACTTTCTTTTTTTGTAATTTTTTTATATTTTTTGATTTGAATCCTTTATTATTCAGATTTTATTTGAAAAATATATATAAAATTACTTTTTTATATAATGAATAGAAATAGATATAGTTTATTTGAATATTAGATATAATAATTTCTGACCATTAAATATTAAATAATAGGAATCTGCTTCCATTAGAACTCGCTTACATTAATCACATATAAATATTATGCAACCATAGCGAAGATATCTTCTAACAATTTACACGTATAAGAGGAAAAGAAATTTACCTTAAATGCAAATTTATAAGCAAAAAACATGCCCCTTACTATTTAAAATTTCGATTATATTATCCTCAAAATCAAATATATTAAAAAATTAAATTACTGACGGATTATCCATTGCAACGCATAATATAGATGACTCGATTTCAGCCTATATTTACAAACGTAGAATCCAAGTTTTTAGCCAGAAAGTATTACCTAAACCTCGTACCGGTAATATATTTCAAAACCTTTGTGCCATCTGTAATCCTCAGTCTTGCGTGATATTTTTTTGAACAAAATAATAAGCTGGCTGTATTTTAAAATCGGCTCAAATCGAGTTGTTTAACTACACCAGGACCAAATATTATTTTTAATTAACCATATTTTTTCCATTCATTCATAATTTTCAAATTCAAAAATTTTGTTGTTTTCTAGGATGGATTATCACTAATTTATTTTTATTTTTTATATAAAATCATTTAATTCTTAATTTTTATGCTAAACAAATGATTGAACACTCTGATCCTGAAAATTCTGTTAAAAATATTAAAGATACCATCATTCAGATTAGAACAGAAAATAATGATGATGGATATTCCAATAACCTAATCATTAAATATCCACATTTAGAGATTTCTATAAATAATAACAACAATACACATATATCTATAAATAGTAAAATTAATTTTTACGAGATTCATACTTAATTAATTTTTATTAAAATAGATTTTCAAAGTCACGATTCAACTAAATCATTTCATGTTTCAGAAATTATATGTAAGCCCCAAATCAACACGTCTTCAAATTTATGCATTAAAGACTTATCGCCAATATCAAATAGCTCCAAATTGATACAGTTACAAATTTTTATTATATTAAATTATCATTATATCATAAATTTAAAGCAGAGCAGTCAATTATTACTGTTTAAAAAAATATTTTATTAAATTATATTTATATACAAAGTTTAATTAAGTACTAGCCACCAGTAATAAATATATCTTATCAATGAGAATATATCATTTCATAATTTACCTTAAAAATATAAACATGGGATATCTAATGTTCAAATTTAAATAAAATAGTATACCAACTTTATATTTCTTTATCCTGTATTTTAAACATGAAAAATTTAATGCAAAAACTTTTAACACTTTATTGAACATTTGATAAGCCTTTTTCAAGGGGAAATTTAATAACAATTTTTTTTAAATTTATAAAACATTTATATTTTAAAGTTTTGATTTTGAGCTAAATTTAGTTTACACAATTAAATTATGTTTAAAGAATATTTTTTAACTTATACCATCTGGATATTAGCCATTATATAAAAAAAAATTAATTCATAATTAAAATAGTTTTGTATCTTATATACTAATTTGAGCCAAAAAATCTGACATAAGCCATTTTTTTAATATATGGGCTAATATAAAGAGAAAGATCAAAATGCCAATTTTAATTTCAAATTTTTTTATTTATGTTGTAAAGCTAAGAATATAATTACAATGTATTGCTAGAGATGATATCTTATATTATATATCAAAATGGTTATAGAAAAGTGTTACCTTTATTTTGACTTTCTAGAGGTTTTAGCAACACTAAAAAAAACAAATTCAAGACAGCATTCTTTTCATTATTAGAATTTTCGAATTGAATAATAACGAGTAATTTGTTTTTGGCCTATTACATTTAAAAAATATTTTTTGCGCTGGAGCTTGGAGCATGTAAAGATTATACCTATAGTTATGATCTAAAAACCAAGGGTGTAAACCCTTCCACCAAAAAACAGGGTTTGGGTTCAGGGAGAGCATAAGATAATATTGACTCAATTTTTTTTTTATTCTACTCCACATAATTTACTAGCAAAAAATTTAAAAAATCATTTATCCTGATAACTTTTTATATACTAATAATCCAAAAAGTACATCAATCAAATAAAAACATGCCAAAACTTCGACATACTTTGATAATTTACATTATTGCTTATATTTTAATTAAATTAATTTTAAAAGTTGAATATCTAGAAATATTGAATTTATTTTCCTTTCTTGATTTTATGTTTTTGTCCTAATTTTTTACTATTAAAAATTGATAATTAAAAAAAAAATAAACAAGATATGCAACATATTCCTATTTAGCATATTAAATTATTCAAAATTTTACTTACAAAATGGATATTTAAAAAAAACTGAAGATATTGAAAAGAGCGAAGAAAATTTTTACTTTTTATGAATTTTTTAAAAATATAATTTATGATTTTAAGAAATTACTTTAAATATTTTTTTTCCTGATACCCCTCAACTTTTAAAAAGGGTTTGGGCTTGGGTTCTGGTTTAACAAAAACATGAGGATCGGAGTTCGGGTTCACATCCCTGGGAAAAACCATATGAAGTTCAGAAATACGAGTGCCATCAAATGGGTCGAGATTGGAAAAATGTTTAATCAAATTAAGAAATTAATAAATATTTCACAAGTACAAAGCTAAAATCAGATTACAAATATATCAAGAAGCTTTATTTGAAAAAAGGTTTTAATGCTTCTTCGATAAGCAACAACCATCTTAAATTTGTTGAAGAATATTATTGGTTAAGAAACTTTCATCTACATATTTGTCTATTTTGGGGTCCAGGCGGAAACCTGCCTCTGCACATATTTGTCTACTTTTGGTTATTTGAGATGGAAACTTGCCTCTATATTCCACATTTTCTTTTAACCAATAATATTTTTAAATTTTAGAAAACTTGTTACTTATCATAAGAGCCTTAGAACCTTTTTTATTCATCTCTAATTTTTGCTTAGCACTTGGATAATACTTATTAAATTTTTGCTATAATTGATAAAAAAAAATTCTTAACTTGATCATAGTTGAAATCATGTTTCCCCATTTGACCTTGATTGCACTAGTATCTGAACTTTATTTTGTTTTTAAACCATTCGTATCGATATACTTATTACATGCTCCATGAAATCATATTCACCTGAAACTAAAAAAAATTTGTAATATAAATTACTAATAACTTTCAAAGCTTTAAAGTAAGTGATGCTAAACTTTTGTAACTTTTAGAATTTCTAAAAATTACGAAAATTTCATATATTCAAAAATATAATTTTGGCCACTGTTTTAATTTTAAATTTAAAATAGCACTTATTTCGATAAAGCTTAGAGCGTTTGCTCATTTAATTTTTGATTTTGGTACACAGCCCTTAAAAGGCCTATTTCATGTTTTTTTCGATATAGTTTGCGAATTTAATTTTTTGATGTTTTGGATAAGCCGTAAAATCAAATATTTTTTGAATATTCAAAAAATTAACCAAAAAATATATATAATCCTAACAAAGCAAGAAAAAATCAAAATATTTTTAATTTAATATTAGTAACAATTTTTTTTAGCCTGATCTCTAGATTTCACCTCACATTTGCAAAATACAATATTATAAATAAATAATCATTTATTTTTTTAAAAAAAATTAGGTTTCAAGAATCCAAAAATCTGGAAAAACCACCTTTCGATACTATTAAAGGTAATTAAGAAGAATTACCCCCAAAAAATCAATAAACACGCAACACCTTTTGAAATAATATATATCGAAGAAATTTCACTATTTAATTGCTCTAGTTAAAAAAATTTATATATAAACAGAAGTGGGAATTAAATTTGAAAAAAGGTTTCCATTCTGAATGTATATATAATATAAAATAAATTTCCGGTTATAGTTTCCGGTTGTGGTTCTATTTCCCAAACAATGAAGAAAATTTGCCAAAAAATAGTGTTTAACCTTCTCAATTGAAATAGCCCACAAACATTTTGAACAATATTCCTGTTCGGATTTCTGAAATTTTTTTTTTAAAAGAGGTTTCTAGTTCCGCTCAATTTTGATAATTTTACAAAGTTGTAATGTCATAAAGATGCTATAATCCACCTGCGGAGATATCCGTCCGAGTTTGGACTGTTGAACTCGGTGAAACATTCTTTAAAACATGACCGAATCAGACCTTTTTTTAAAAAAAATTTTTTTTAATTTAGACCGAGCCTAAAGCTAGTGAACATCTCGTTTTGAGCCAATTTTTAAAAATTGCTAATTCAATATTTTACTCAGAAAAATATTACGCTAGCCTGAAGATTTTGTTCATAGAAGGTACAAAGGTTTAGACATGTATTAGCGAAATCTCATAAACAATATTTTTCTGCCTAAAATATTGAGTTAGCCATTTTGAAAAATCGGCTCAAAACAAGCCGTTTAACAACAATACCTAAAGCTAGGGTTTAAAAAGCAAAAATTAGAGTGGATTTCTAAAAAAACGACCCTTTTAAGATTTTTTGAGTCGATTTCTAAAAAAAACGACTATTAAGATTTTAGCCAAAATGATATTTTCTTTTCTGAGCCTGGAGATTTTGCTTATAGACGGCAGAAAGGTTTGATCTTATATTCGCCAAATCTCGAGCAGACTCGAATCGACAAAAATTTCGAAATATTTTTTTTATAAATAATAACTCGCCTTCCGGACAAACAAATAAGTTCGACACAGGGCTCTAGTGAAGCAAAATCGCTCAATTTAAGTCGATTTTTAAAAACGGCTAACTCAATATTTTTACCAGAAATAATTCATAAGCTTCGAGATTTTTCTAATAGATGTCCAAAACTTTGTGCCATTTATGAGCAAAATCTTCAGGCTTGCGTAATAGTTTTCTGGATATAATACAGAATTAGTCGTTTTTCAAAACCGGCTTAAATGGAGCAATTTTGCATCACTACCGTGCTCTACTAATGTAATATATTATGGGAACTTTCTTTTCAATATGAATACCAATTATTTTTGGTTTCCAATATTGTTTATATACTTTTAAAGAAAAATCAGGCCTTCGCCTATATCTAAAATATACTACCCACTAGCCTACATCAGGCATTGGCCTATAAGTTCCTTTTATTTTTACCAATTTTATTAAAAATCATTTTGGTATAGAACTATTTACCGAAATGGTCTGTAATGATGATCATTTTTATACAGGTATTATAATAGGCTTTTATAATATATAAAATAATTTTTGCGTTATCGTATACTTTATACGAATAATGAATAAAATATAGATTTTAGCTTTTCATTGACAATAAGGAAATAAGAATCAATAATTTATCATTTAAAATTATTGATTTTAAATAATAATGATAATAAACAAATTGACTTTTTAAAAAATTATATATTGTACCTGAGAGGATGACGAATATAAATAAATGATATATTTTTAAGGAAATTTATCCACGAATGATAAGATGTTTTTTAAAGTTCTAACGTCGTGTTTATAGTTTTTGATATTAAAGGCATTCCCAATCAGGTGTATATTAGCATGTGTTAAAGCCCTGCCAATCTTAGGTCTGCACCCGACCCGTTAAAACCCTGTCCGAAATTATGTTTATTTTTGAACCCGACTAAAAAATTTTATTAATTTTTAAGCCCGCCCCAATTTTTTTTTTTATCTAGGCTCGATCTCGGCCCGTCCAAATTTTTAATTGAAGAAAGTTATAAATTAAAAGGCATATTTTTAAAAAGTTAAATTAAAAATCACTAAATTGCTTTGAAAGAAATTTTTTTTCAATAAAAGCATTTTTTGAAATTTTGTTTTTTTTGAGCCCCTTCTAGACGATTGGCAGGACTATCGCCCATGCATATGCGTATTAAAAAATCATATTTTAGAATAACTAATTTGGCCAAATATAAATTTTTTTTTGGTAGATTTTTAACATTAAGGAATCTTTAAGGTGTAGTAAAATTTAGAGGTAAAAAAACAATTATTTACTTTTTAGGTTTGGATGTAATCCACAACATTGTCGATAATTATGCGCATTTTACCTTGCACGGAAACGAGAGCCCGCAAATAACTCGTGAGACTTTAGCATCAACATCTCAAGACGTAAGCAACGTTCAAGACGATGCCAACGATAAGAACGAAATAGCCACCCTATCCAAAATGTTAAATTACAATAATGACATGACCCAGTGGATTGATTCGCGGGCGAATATCGATTCCTCTACCCTGACATCCCACCTAAATAAAAGGGAGGTTGATATAGTACTTACAAAGTCTATAAAAATGAAATCACAATTGACGACCTCTTTACCGTTACACCCCCAAAGTGTCGCTCGTATCGATAGCGTTCTAAATTTAACCACCCCAAAAATTATTGATCGTTATAAAAACGCCCACAGTCTCTCAAATAATTCAGCATTTCGCGATTCAGTTACCAAGTTAAATTTGACCGATAAAGGTAGCAAAGCTTGGACAAAGGATTTAGAATCTTGCCAAACGCAATATGATTTGGGCAGATTATCGCAATCATCTTCCGAGGGAGCTGCTGGTTCATCCTCTGAATCTGTGTATCACGATTATTCGTCGTTGTCATCTCGAGTCTCTAACGGTTCAAAAAATCGCGATAATATACGTGTTAATAAAGATGAACAATCCTCACATTTTTGGCTATCTCAAGTTGCTAGCAAAAACAAATCCTTCGAAGACCCAGAAAACGTCTCCAAATTTTTTGGCAGAGGCGATTTTATAGACCTTTCACAAAATTCACGCCTCCCTAGTAACACGCCTCGTAAATCGGATTTGCTCCAAGAAATATCGCTTCCGATTTTAAATAGGAGCCGAATGTCAAATACGTCGGATTTGATAAGGAGTAAATTAAGCATGAAGAATAATTCTATCAAATACTACAATTCATCCGGAGTTCAGACAACCAAAGATGTAAAGCCTGGCAACATTTCTGGAAACACAAAAAATCGCGTTCTAAATACCACAAAATCGGAGAGCCCGATAATGTTCGATTTTAAGGCCAATGTTTTTAATGTCAATTCTATGGATCAAATGGAGGGTAGGCAACTTTTTAAGGACAAAAAAAATTTTTTTGAATATTATTTAATTCTTAATATTATAATGTAACAAATAGATTTCTCCAACAATCTAGTTCCGAAAGATCAGCTTTATGATGATAATATATCGAATATTGAAGAAAGTAGTCGTAAAAGTTTAACATATGATGTCTCAAACAGGAGCCCTCGAACCAAATCCCGATCCAAGAATGCTAATCTTGGTATCACGAGTTCGATTAGAAGTCCTATAACTTACCATCAAATTTCTGACATGAAGGATGCCACGACGGATACCTTTGTCATTCCAACATCACCAGATATTAGCTATAATAAAAACGATCTCATCGAACGTGACGAAAATAGAAATTCGATTCGCCCAAACTCTATTGCGAATGGAAACCGACCCGATACCGCCACATCTTACTCTCTAATGAAGGACGTGCTGACCGATTCCAACAAAAATTTAGTAGACCTCGTTAAGGATCTCATGAAAGAAATGCTGGGCTTAAAAAATCCGATCGTGAATAACAATAGAAGCTCCGCGACAGGTTTAAAGGGTGGTCCCTTAGAATCGGGTTCATCTGGTAAAAAAGATTTACCCGAAAAGCAACCGAAGCGTCTCGTTGATAACCAATTCAAAAATAGCGATAATGCGGCGCTTCAACCCGGGGTACGGCGAACCGATTCAAATTATTACGCATCATTTAACGACAGTCTATCTAATCGTTCCTCTCACTCTAACTCTGTAAATTTTACTTAATTTTGAAAATGCTTGCATTTTTTTTTAAAAAAAAGAATAATTTATCAAATTATATAATTATTTATAGAGTATTATATAATAATATGAAGGTATGTGTCGTCGTTAAGATTTTTCTTCTTAAAAATAATATTTTATAAGCTATGATAGTAATGATCAAATATTGCTTTCTTTATAAACTAAATACTCTATAAAAGAAATAAAGAAAGAATTATTTAATTGTATTATTAAAGTATATATTCGCAAACTACTGAGGACTTTATGTTTATTATATGTCCATTTATCTTTAATTACATATAGTATAGGTGCCACAAAATAATCAAATAATTTAGGAAATACAGTAAAACCTGCCTAATTTAGGCACTGTAAACCAGGATTTTTGCCCAATTTATCAAGACTTTTTACCTTTTAATAGTAGATAATAGAAATTTGATTGGGACTCAAAATTTTGGTAAAATTAAGACGTTGTCCTAATAAGAACCCCAAATAGAAAAGTTTTACTCTCCAATAAAACCTTCCTAATTTGAGCAAAGTTGGGATCAAGATATTTGCCCAATTTATCAAGGCATTTTTAAATGTATAGTAGTCAATAAATTAATAGGAATTTGATTGGAACTCAAAATATTGGTCTAATTAGGGAGGTGCCCTAATTATCAAGAGCCCAAATTAGACAAGTTTTACTTTATACAGCGCGGTAATAGCAGGAAAAATGGCTAAATATACAGGCGCGTGCCAAGGAAATTCTGCTAATAGAGACGCATGGTAATTTATTTCCACTTTCTACAAAGTTGAGTTATATCTCAAATAAAAAAAACCCTAGGCGAAGGCAATAGTTTTTAGCTAAAAACTAAGATTTAAGCGCGCTAAAAACGGATAAGAATAGAGCAATTATCCAATTATATTAATGCGCGTGAATAATTTTTCTGCCATTTTTATTTTTTTAAAAATTTGCAAATCAATTAATTATTAATATTTTAGGAATTGAGGCAATTGATAGCAGAAATGATCAAGAAAGAATTAAAATCCTTCGATGACAAAAAAAGGCAGAATGACGAATCCAGTGAAGATCGTTTACAATTGGTCCCACGGCCTCATACCCGAAATCGATATAAGGCTTCGAGCGATAGTTTTTCCAGTTTCGCAAATTTAAATTTTGAAACGGATTTAAAGCCCTTAACCTCCTTGATAATAGATCGCGTGCTAAAAATGGTGGAAAAACTTATTTTTAAAAAGATGACAAGTAAATACGATTTATTATAAAATGAAATTTAAAAATAAATATAAACAATATTATCATTTTTAATTGACAGGTAATCAAATTGAATCCTTGTCATCAAACCCGGCACGTAACAAACATTCTACTCCTAAAAAAGTTCGTTCCAAATTTAAAGAGTACCAGTTCAATGACAACAGCAGTATCCTAACTTTAGCTAACAACCAAGCCTTACACACGTTTCCTTATTCCAATGCTTCCCTTAACAAGGATTCATTTCAGACTCTCCTCGCGAGCAACGCAGCCAAAAACGATTCCCATTTCAATATAAGCGACATCACGTCGACCGACTATTACGTGGACGACACTAAATATATAGTTGACTCTCCGGCAAGTACGAATTACTTGGCCGATCTGTCTAACACCTTTGACATTACCAAAAACGGAACATTCTTCGGCAAAGATACTACGCTAAAGAATTCGAATATTAGCTACGTTGCGGGGGATATTTATAAATCGTGCGATATTGACCGGGACGCAAATCAAATCGATGCGACGATCGCTGATCCATTGAAAAATAACATTTCGGATAGCTTTAATGTCAAGGACGCAAGTTTGAATGTCCATCCTTGCGCCTTTACCTCTAACGAACCCTCTAAACCTTTGCAAAATATTGATACCAATACAAATGTTCCAATAACTACTGGAATTTTCAAAACCGCGAACGGTAAACTTAGTACAATTTCTCCCTTTCCCACAGTACCTGATTTAAAACAAAATCTTGATTTGACAAATAACGATCAGAGTAATATTGTAGACGAAACTTTGAATGATAAATTAGAATTCGATGATAGTAGCATAGCAAAATTCACCTCACAATTTGAAGGATTATCTTTGAAAGTAAATAAGTTTTATCGATTTACCTTAGGATAGATTAAATATATGAGAAGGGCATTTACGAGTTAAAATATTTCTAAAATAAAAATTTACACTAACAGTATTTCTCATCTCCAACTTTCTTTATACATTATCCATAATTATTTTCGTACTTTTACAATTAAAATCATTTTTGTATTTTATTAGTTTTATGCTTTCAAATTGCAAATTTAATCTTTTTATATTTGTAAAATGTTTTATAAATTTACCTTTTTTTAAAAAAATATTAAAATATAAATATGATGGTATTACTCTCTTAATATGACATGAATAAAGATATCAAATAAATATAACTGTATAAAATTTTTATTCATAAATTTCCAAATTTAAAACTTTGTTAATCCAACATTATTTTTAAAAAAATTTGATTTTTTTTAAAATAATTAGGCCTAAGAAAAATTTTAGGCCCACCCGGATTTTTTAAAAACATATTATATTTATTTTTAATTTTTATAGTTAATAATGGCGATTTAAAATATTTGGTATTAAAATATTTAGCCCGACACGGGTTTTTTTTTTAAAAAAATTTTAGGCCTGGCATGGGTATTTTTTTAAAAAAATAAGTCCAAGCCTGGATTAAAAAATTAAAATACTATATTATTTATATTAATATCATCAACAAATCAATTTTTTTTTTCTTAGCAAGCCCTCAAAACCTTTCGACCCGATTTCATAATCAACTCCTGGTGTCGTCAGCAGCACGTATCGTTTCTCTCCGAAAAACGTAAGCAACGTAGCAGATCACGATCCGAATCCTTGAATGGATCCAATACTTCTCTCGATATTCCAAAAGTCAGGCGGGCCTTACAGCTCAGTCTTCGCAGGCGCGCCAGAAAATTGAAGAAAAATCTGGATTCACATAAAGATGCCACGGTACCGGTAACAGTTCCCAAGTCGAATATATGCAATACTACCGAGAAACTCGCAAAGGATCAAAAAGTTGAAGGCAAAAGGAGTCTTAAATCAGAAAATCCTACCCTTTTGCGCCACACCAAAATTTCTTCTGAAATTAACTCTCCCGGATCCGGTAAACGGCTAATAAATTATAAAATTAGCAAAACCCGTACCACCCTGAATCAATCCCTTACCACTCCGACTAAAAGAGAACTGAACGAAAATGGTAAAAATTGTGGTAAAGATTACCGAATCCTAAACGTGTCCAAGTTTACGCTACCCGTCGTTTCAAACTCAATATCTTTCTCTCAGGGTTATATCAGCGATGATCAACATTTCCCAATGTAATTTTCCTTTTTTTATATAAAAAAAAAATTAACAGTATCAAGTTAAACATTGATATATTTTGGGTACTAATTTTTACACCAAGCATCATTTAAAAAAAATACTTAGTTTGAAATAGTCAATTTAAAAACAGAGCCCTCTAGACACCCCCTCTCCCCTCCCAAGCAAATGACGCTGAGCTCACCCCCCCCTCAGTTACTAAATTATAAAATATATTCTGAATAAGAAGGTATTTCATTCCCTCTGAGATTTCGAAGCACAATCACATTGTATTTTTCCCATGCTAGAGAACCTTGGTCAGATTTTTTAATGGTGGGCATAAAAATTCGGGCATATTTTTTTGGTGAAATATAAAAACCTATAACCTACACTATACCTAAGTTTGTATGACTTATGTTTTTTTAGTCAAGGTAAATTTTTAGACCTATCAGTATTTAGCACTAATTGCTTAATATCAACTCAAAAAACATTCCTTCGAACTTATAAAACTGTTTTGCAGGATTTATAATGTTCTCTGTATTGTTTTTAAAAATATATATTATTAATACAATATCTTAGGATTTCTCATTCCCACAACCATCCCCAAAACAAAACGTATGATATCAGTATGAAGAAACACTATCAAAAAAACCCACAATCAATGCAAAATATTATCAACATTAAGTTACTAAATGAATACAAAACTTGTTCTTAAATTCTTTAATATATAATATTTTGTAATGGTAAATTTATTATAATTCAGAGACTTTTATAATAAATGTGAATAATTCTTGATATTTTTAAAAAAAATAATAATTGTGTACCAGAATATTTTTTTGCATTTAATGCCTAATTCATAAGAAATTATTTTATGCATACATTGGAAAACGTTTTTACATAGGTCTTTATATATGAGAATTAAAACCATCATTAAAAGAAACAAATTTGAAATCTTTTATTGAATCTTGGCAAATGTAACTGAGATTTTTGATCCCATAAATATCGCTTAAATTTATAAAAAAATGCAATATTCGAGAACTAAAACGTGAAACTTTCAGAAATAAAGGAAGGGGTGCAGAAAAAAAAATTATATGTTCTTAATATGTATATACCTCAATCTCTTAATGGCTAGAACTCTGTTATGACTTTTAGTCTTATTCCTTCGGAGTTATAAAAAGAAGTCACTTTAAATAAGCTAATCGGTTGACGAATCTAACTTCATGAAAAATGAAATATATGTTCCATAAAATAATTGAGATTTGGGTTGTCTTGAAATATTAATTTGCGAAATTTCTATCCATTCCTTTAACGAGTCTCTTCAAATGCCAAATAACTAAAATATAATGTAATATTAGGAAAGCTTGAAAATATTCCCAATAGGGACACGAATAGTAAATGGACATGCGATGAGAATGCAAATGCTGAAAATGTGGGAAATATTTTGAGAAAAGAAAGGAAAGAGCAGCATGTTATACAAATTTTGTGTATTATGTAATATTTGATTGTATAAATCGGAATAGATTTTTTCCCTTGAGGAGCTTTAAATCAAAGTTTCTTTCTTTATTAAAATGTTATATTCTAATCTAGGTTGGCAAGTCGGTCAATTAACCGGTTAAATTCAGTCAATTGAGCGGAGGAGTATTTGACCTTGTCAAATAACTTTAAAAAAAATTAAAAATATGTTTAAAAATTAAAAACAATATAAATACATGTGTTCACAATGTTGTTTATTTTTTGGTTCCCTATATCAAGAGGGGCATCTCACTAGTAGTAAATTCAATGAAATAAATGATATAATTCAAGAATTAGCCATTTTACAAGGTGGTGATTAAATATTTTAAGTGATATAATTTATTTCAGAAGCAAGAACAGCATGTTTATGGCAAATTAAGTGGAAAACAGTAATATCCATAAGAAAAAATCAATTCCGACCTCAAATTAATATATTAAGCTTTGCCCAACATGCCCATTAAGAGAAACAATTCCTACTTTTACTTCTTCTTTAGAAAGAAATAGGTCGATTTGGGTTATACATGAAAATATAAATCGAAAGAACACGACAGGAAAATTGATTAAGAAAATGATAATATTAAATATGAATCAGTACAAGACTGCTACAAAGAGCTAAACTATTGAATGACTATGAATTTAAATAATTAATATTATAGATTCATTTTATTATTATGTTCAAAATAAAGTTAATATTGACTTTAAAAAATATATATATGAATTTGACCTGTCATGCACAACCCTGATTGTAATCTTGGAGACATGGAACATTACACTTTTTAGCTTCTAAGATTTTTTACCTCACGATCCTCTGGCTCATTCAATAACAGCGATAATTAAATTACCCGACATTCTTTCTTTCAAATAAATTAGAAATCAATTCTTTCGATTGAACTTATATAAATGAAAATAACTTTTATAGACCTTTAAATACCCCACCTTCAACCACCATATCAATAAACTTTAAAAATGACATAGAGAATGGATTTGAATAAAGTTTTTTCTTCTTCCTATTATTTTTATAAGCCAAGACTAGTTTGTTTATTTACATAAAAATAAATTACTCAATATTATATAAATAAGATAAATTATTTATAAATAATAAATCGACGGTTTTAATTTAATCAAAGGATTTTTTTGAGATTTTTTTTTCTATACGCGACATTTTTGCATTTTTTTTGATTTAGTATTGTGCATCCATCCATATAAAACAAAATGACCGAACATTCATTTATAAAAATAAATATTATATAACGCGATTTTTAGATCAAATTATTATTCAAATTTGTGGTATATGTATTGAGGGCATCGTTCGACATGGACAGTCCATGGTTCATTGGGTAAAAATTTGTGCCAAATTTCTCTTCGAAATTTCTTTGAGTTGTAGATCCATCGAGTTGCGAGTTGATATGCGTGTAGTATGGATTGAATGCTGGTTTATCTGATACGTAAATGTAAATAAATAACGAGAAGGGGTTTTATAGATAATTTACACAAAAACAGAGTTAAAATAAATCAAAAACTATTCTGTCCATAACATTCCATTATTAAGGTTATGTTGGACTAAACCGTAGGCTAGGTCTTTAGAATTAGAACCTCGATTCGGGTCCAAGGTTAGGTTTGATCTGGGACATCTAAACCATTATATTAAGTATTTTTTTTTAATTAAACTTTGAATCAGATTTTGAAATGCTTTGCAAAATAATAAATCCTCAAAAATTTAGGATCTTTGAAGATTTTTTATGAGAATGCTCAAGCAGGATTTTATGATATTATCTAAAAAATCATCTTTTATAAACTTTTGTGATTTTTATGCATAAAAAAATCTTTTATTTTTTTATTTTAAAGATTTTTTAGCTTATTTTGGACTTTATTTATAATGCTACATTTATACCATTATATTTAAATAATATTATGTTTTCGTAATTATGAATATTTATATTTTTTTACCTTAATTATACTTTCAAGTTTTATAGTATATTCAAATATTAATTTTAATGATTTATTTCAGGCATTCAAATCGAACCAAGAAACCGGTATGATCCGTTATTATTTACCCAAACTGAACCGTTAAAAAATTGTCCCCTGTACCAAACCTCTTAAAATGTGAACCAGTTTGAATCCTTTGATAACTCTTTTAAAGAATGTATAATAATCAGTTGGATTGATAAGTATCAGTTAATTTTGTTTAAATATTTTCTTATATTGCTATTTGACGGTGCCATCTATCCGAGTTAACATATAGAAGTGATCTCAACCCTAATAAATTATTCCTCCTTCTTATTACCCCTCTTTCATAGTTAGCGCTATACGAACGCTGTATTTTTTGTATTCCCCGTAATTCGCATGCGCTAAATGTGTATGAGGGGTTACTCTGTAATTCACAGTTAGAAGGAATTAGCGGAAAAGTGTACAAAATATGCTGTATTTTTCAACATTTTTATGCATTTCGTCGTGAATTCGCGTTAACTGTGAATGCTAGGTTATAGATATAAATTGACCGAAGGGGATCTTAAAATAATAATAAAAATTAGAGAATAGTTGATAAAATTTTTTTTACATAATTCTAATATGCTTGTATGCGCATAGGTTTAACCCGGTTCTTAAAGGTTCGAACAGAAATATATGATTATTTTTTACTAATCGAACCATGAACAGTTATTTTTATCTAAACCGAAACCGATGTTCTTTAAGGGATTTATTATTTTTCTAAAAAAATGGATCTGGTCCAGTCGGTCTGGTTTTTTCAGGCTTTAGTTCACATTGGTCTTTTAAAATCGTTCAAGGGGAGGGACCTAACCACGATTTTCTCTAATGGATAGCTTAAATGTTGGATTTGTGTTTCGTTTATTATAATTATATAATGTTGTATTGTCCTATTAGGATGAATCCATGGGGATTTGAAACTCTCAATTTCAAATCATTTACTGAGGGAGATTTTTAAATTTGAAAAAATTAAATTTGACTCGAAATATATTCCAGCATGTTTAGGCTACCTACTTTCTAAAATTTAATAAATCTTCGCTTCAACATATGCTGAAATGCATTACCAGTCAAGTATTTTTTAATAAATATGGTCCCCAGTAAATGATTTTAAAATTGAGAGATTCCGTTCCCATGGATTCCAATAAAACATATTGTATTCCAATTTGAAAAACCTTTTTTATCTATTGTTATGTTCGGGTTCAATGGGGTTTTATAGAACGATAATAAATTGAAATTATTATAATATAATTTTTTTTTTTAACCTTGATCAATCATAAGAGGATATTGAGTATGAATACTTTTTGTTAACATTTCATCTTCGGAAGTTTGACTAAATAGCAATGGCATATTATGGATATTATCACAAGTTTTACTAGATAATTGTTGAAACTCCTGTGTTCTCGATCTATGTTCTAAATTTAAAAAAATTCAAAAACCTTAACTTAATTCTAAGGGTATTTTTGAAAAAAAATTATTTGCCCTCCTATTCCATAATTAAAAATGTAGTTGAATAATTGCTCAATTTTCAGCCGGCTTAAAGTAACGGCTGGATCTAATTCTTAGCTAACCGAAAACTAACGCAGCCTCCATAATTTGGGTGCTGTTGGGTGAAAATATAACTCAACTTTTAACTCGATTACTAGGTCGATTTTCATCGTCAGCCTGTAAATTTACATATTTAATAATTATCCAAGCTTATATTTTAAAAGTAGCTTATCTAAATATAAAATAAGTATGTATGTAAAAATATAAACTTAATAATCGAATAAATTTACCTTGGGAGTTATATATTATATCCTCGTTTTTTGGATTGGAAAATTGATTCCCTTTTTTAAAAAAAAATAATTGTTATGATTTTTATTAAATGGAATCTTAAGTATAAACCAAAAAAAAGTTTTTTAAAACCCGTAAATTTTTTTTTATTGTGTTTGAAAAACCTTTTTTAGGCCATTTCCAGATGGAACATTTTTTAAAAGCAGTTTTCTGAGAATTTTCCCAGTAATTTTTTTTTTAATTTTCAAACAATTAATAAAGTATCTCAGACATGTTTTAATCGTTAAAAAAAATACTATTAACGATTAAATGGCGTCTGAGATAATACGGACCAAGTTTATTTGGGATATATTTGTGGAAACATCCCTAAGAAAAGATCCTGATTAGTAATAACTTATTGAAAATTGAGGAACTAAGACCTCCTGGAAAATTTCTTCAAATAACGAATACTCACTTAATTCAGAATATAAAAATGACTATAATCTTCAAATATTACTGCGAAGAGTCAAATAATATATTTGCTACTAATCACTTTGCAGCAACAACATGATTGCCGCTCTTAGGGGTAATAAAATGTCGTGATTTACATATCTGCAACTTAGGAACCGGTTTTTAACTGTATGGTAATGACCTTCCTGGCTTAACTACCCCCCCCCTTTCCCCTTTATAAAGCTTAGCTCTAATAGATTAGAAGATCTGTGATGAAATATTTATTCCCTGTAATTTTTTCCCTGTCGTTTAACTTGCCTAAAAAAAATTAGGGATTTGGCCGAAAAACCGGTATATTGATGGGTATAACATATATAGAAATTAATCAATGCAATCGCTATAAAGAGAGAAAAATGCTAAACGACTCGATAGAAACGGCACCTAATATTTTAGCCAATACTCTACCTTGGAGATTTCGCTCATAGATGGTAAAAATGTTTGGACATCTATTAACGAAATTTCGAGGCTTACGTAATATTATTTTGGCTAAGAACCAAACTTCGGATAGGTTCTAAATAGCTAAATATTAGCAATCTCGCTTATATCTCCTAGAAAATATTTGAAGTAATATTGAAAATAATATTAATGGATACTGGGGAAGTAAACATTTCCATTTAAATTGAGTTTTTGTAAAAAATGGAGGAAATATATTGGACTTTTTGGGAATATTGATGACATTTCTTCTATTTTTAGCGATTTATATATAAAAAAAAATTTCTATTAAATACTAAATGTTTAACTTCCCTAGCATTTAATAAAAAATTTCTAGGAAATATAGGCGAGATTTTCAATTTTATTTTTTTTAACGATTTAGAACGGGGACCAAAAAATTTAATTTAAAATTGGCTAAATCGAACTAAAAAGTTAAAAAAATCTAATGTCAATTAAAATTAATCCTAATAGAATAATAAATTTTTCATTAACTTACCTCTATTATAATTTATAAATTATTATTTTCGCAACCAAATATAATTATTTTTTAAACCAAATATAATTTTTACTTTTATAAAGTAAAAGTTGGATAATTACGAGCAATATTCTCATTTATATGACAAATTCCGCCGATTAAATTTAATGTATGCCAATTTATTTTATGATAATTTGCTTTATTATTGGTTTAAAAACCAACTTTGTGTCCAACATAGCAGTAAAGTTTAGGAGAAGAAAAAATAAATATATATCAATTTTTTTAGATTAATATACTTATATATTACTTTTAGATTTTTATAAATAATTAAGTGCATTAAACTTCATTAAAATAAATGAGAAAAAAAATAATACAAGTTTTATCACTTTATATAAAACATAATAAATAAATACATTATTTCTAAAATGAAAAAAAAAATTACCAATTTAAAAAATATTTTAAAAAATCGATAATTTTTCGCATCTTCTTTCTTTTTTGTTTAGTTTTAAAAAATAAATCATGTATATTTAATCTATAATAAAGACAAAAAAAAATAATCGAAAGATATGATATACGGTGTTATTATTATATATTTACTTTTTAAGGTAAGTGGACCAATAAAAAAGAAAAATCAACTTAACCTTACCCATTCACCGCTCACTGTGAGCAGGGTTAGAGATCTGGGTTAAGATTTAATATAAATTTAAGATAATGACTCAATAGCAGTCCACTTGGTCTTAAAAATTGGTCTTCATTTATATTTTTATTTATTTTTTTTAAAAAATAATGAAATTATCTTAAAAAATCGGATGACGTCATTTACACTCGCGTGATTTTTTTTTTTTGTATTTTAACCAGAATTATATAAAAATTTAAACATTTAAACTGTATCCTGGTTCCACTTATTTTTGATACTAGTTTTTGAATTAGGACACCCTGTTTTGGTTTGTTTTAAGTGTATTTTATTTTATTTTTAAACAAGACTTAATAGCAATCGAGCATTTGTTTCAATCTAGATAAAAGTTAAAATTAGGCAAATAGTATTAAAAATAAAAATATTTGAATGCAATTTTATCTTCAATATGAGCAAATAATTTAAATAAATATATATTAAAAAATAATAAGTACATATAAAAAATATATATAAATATTTATTAAAATATTTTTCCCCTTTAAATCTATAGATATCAATTCATGATTGTGAAGGATATTTTTCTCATGTAAAGGAATATATATAAATCCTTGCTTAGCCATGACGCACAATTATTAAAAACAATTACATTGATGCCCAAAATTATTTTAAGCGGATAAATTTATTTATATTTTAAAATAATTTTATGGAAATTCCACTGACTCTTAATGAATATTTATTCGTAAGAAGGATAAAAATAGGTGTATTGACATTTTTTTAATTATATTTTTATGGTGTTCGAATTGAATGAGAATAAAATATAAAAATGTTGTTTAAGTATTCTATTTAAAATTTTAAATAGCTATAGAATATGTAAACTTTTAAGCGTATTTTAACTATATTCTAATCTAACTATATCAAAATCGATATTTGAAAAAAAAATGGTGTCCAGAATCCTTTTCTTTTCTGTATAAAATTAAGAATTAAGTAAAGATAGAACGCATTCAGGGCGGGATCGTCTAAACAGCTGTTCAATCGTAATTCATTAAAAAAAGTGCATTTAACGTATTTTTAGGGAATCAAGTCCTTAATTTCGAAATCTATATTTAAAATAAATAATTAAATAGGCCCAGACTACTTTCTGAATAAAATTCAGAATCAAGAATAAAAATTAGGCCTAGCTAGAATGCTGCCATATAAATTTTTTAATGCGCACGAGCACAGAGGAAGGAAAAAAAATGGACCTAGCCATACCCGTGCTGGCTAGTAGGCTGACTTGTCCTGTCAGACCTGATTGATTTATTAAATTTGTTTTTCAATAAAATATTCAAAGTTGGTAAATTATCATTTATGACAGGTGCCGCTCATAAATTACAAATCTGAACTGAAACGCGGTAAGTTATTTTGACTTTAGTTCTATCTCAAGCTTGGGTTGGGAATTTTTTTTAACTTCAACTAATTTTTGCAGATAATTAAAAACAGGGTAGGATAAGGGAATACGGTCTAGACAGATATGGTTTAGGACTAATTTATGTATTCAAATTGGGTGCATACTTTTATTTTAATAAAATTTGAACATTTTTTGTTATCCATGTCATACAGGTAGTATCATTAGCTATTTTTAAATATTAACAGTCTAAAAACCGAATAAATATGGGAATTTAATCATATTATAGAACACTCATCCTCTCCCCCGTTACATCTTTTGTCCAATTGTTTCAAAAGATTATTGAATTATCATATAAAAATAGACTAATTAATAGTTTTGTTAATAAAATAATTTTACTTACAGGCGGAGAAAGGTAAACTAGTCTCCAAAGCGGAGTTTGGTTGGCGTATGGAATTATCAATATTCGAAGCACTAGACATTTCTGTCAGAGGTGTTATTTCTGTTTTGATTATAGGTCTTATTCTTCGGGAATGCCTAAAAAAATGTCGCCTAGCTCCCAGAGCACTTAGCTGTTTCATGCGACGTTCTTTGGATCTTCTATTTTGAAACCAGACCTTATAAAAATTTAAAATAAACAAAAGGGAGATGAGTTGATAATATATATAACTTATTTATTCTTAAATTATAATTTTTTTATAAGTTCTTTTTATAAAAACTTTTATACAAGCCTTTAAAAATTAAAGATTAACAATTTTTTCATTCGTTATCAGAGAGGAAAAAAAATGTAGAAAGCTCAGAGTTTACAGGTTCTGAACTGAGGCGCGACAAGTTGTTTTCAACAAGCTGGGAGGGGGGTAAGACAAATCCCCTCAAACGGGTAATCAGGGTTGGACATATATAGTTTTGGGTAAATTTAAGAGTTATAAGTTATCTGACCTTTTTTCAATTAGTTTAGTAAGAATTAATTTTTTATCTGCTATTTCAAGCAAAATTTAAAATACATTGATTCCAATCTTCTCTCTATTCGGGGTTGTTGAAAATTATTTTAGACGGGAACCAATTATAGAAATCTATACATTTTGAAGCGATAACTTTTTAAAATCAATATAATTTTCATAGGGAAAAAAATGATAAACACCATCATACTAATATTTTAATATCTCAAGCGTAATCAAAAATCAACCTCTTGTTTTAATTAGCATTTTAAGACTCATTTATAATAAACGCGTTATTTTCAAGCGGCGCTTTGCAGAGTTATTTACAAAATCAAGCCAATATAAATAGGCATAATTTATAAATATTGAATGATGATTAAACATGTTGGGAAGTATATTTCAAACATTTTCCATGCTACAAAGAATCAGCTGCGATTTCGAAGGCGTTAAATAACGCAACGCTTAAAAATAACACGCTTACTATAAATTCCGCCTTAGTCGTATTTAGATTACATTTCGACGTGCTAACTGCTGGACAAATCATTTCCCCTCCCTCACACCCAGAGTAATCTAAAACACGGGGTATGATGCAGTTTCTTCATCAGAATTTTAGGAAGCATGGGGGAGGGGGGATTCAATTTTAAAAGATTTAGGTAAGTAATAATTTTTTTGTTTACTACCAAAATATAAAAATGATGCCGGTTTTATTTTGTTTCTTACCAATATTTGCACGCAAACTTTTGTATGTATAGTTCTATTTTGACCAAAATGTTTTATTATGGTAATTTAAAGTTAGTTTTAAAATTCCAGTGATGATTTAATAATTTATTTTGGATAACTAATTTTGAAGTCATGGCAATTTACCGGAAAATATTTTGATTCAAAAAATGATGTTGTTTTTAAATACGTGTTCTAGTTATTATTTTAAATGGTCATAACTAATGTCAGCGTAAATGTAAGAGCATCGGTTTTTAAATATATGCAAAATCATAATTAAAATTTAGTTTTTCGTAAATTATTTTTTAATTTTATATCACCTGTGAAATTCCAATTATCCAAGAGAAAATTTTAGAAAGAAATGAATAATTCCGCCATAGCCGAAAGACTTCACTTAAGCAGGGAATGATCAGAGACTATATTAATAAATTATTTGATCATGTCAAATCTACTCGCATTGGCCTCAAAAAGTGTCAAAGCCGGTAACGCTCATCAGGGAAAATCACGAATCAAATCTTGTTCATTTGACTCAGAAATTAAGAGATAAGACAAAAAAGACTATACCTACCTTCACCTGCAACAGACTGATTCATTCTCTGAGTTATAAATTTTATAAAGTGATTTCAATTTTATAAAGTGATTTCAATTTTTAGTGACCCATAAACTGTATGCTTTTTAGTTTTATGATAGGCCTATAAATATTTTTTAATGACAGTTAACCAATTAAAGATTGGACCTTTACCATATGGTCATAAGTTGTTTTTGCATATGAATTTAAGTTTGTATTAAAATTTGAGAGAATTCGCAATAATGTGGTACACAAGAAAAATACAGTACTCTATCCTAATATTTTTTTTGGGGAAAATGAAATATTCAAGCACTACCAGGCATTGTTCGAGACAATGCCTTAGAGGCTTTAGTTTTGTTATTAGAACTAAAAGAGAATAGATTAATTATTTCATCCTATCTAAATAAAGCGTTAATATTGCATTGCAAATAAATAAAACCATTATTTTTTTTATTTAAAATTAGTTTAAAAAAAAATAAAATAAATTTATATCTTCGAGGTTCAGGAAGTAGCTTGTTAAAGTTATTGGTTAGGGGAATAGGTAGTGGGGGGGGGGGGGGTAGAGTATCCTATTCTGTTAACACCTCATTTGAAATAGTCATTTAAGAGTTTTAAAAAAATCATTTAAGAAATAAATATTAAAATAACCATGGTTAATGCGATCCCTCAAAGTTTAACATTCATTTGATTATAAAACTTGAATCCATATATAATCACATTTAAATCACATTTATTGAGAAGCACTTTAAGGTTAGCCATGATCACGGAAGAATAATTCTTTTATTAGGGCTGATTTAAACTTTATATAAATAGATCACTTTTATTCTGTTAGGGGTGATAAATTTTTCACTGACCCCCTACCTGTAAGGTGGCATAAAATTAGAAATGAAATATACTTATTGATGAGCTAGAAACTCCGGACCACTCTTAATGTGTAGAATAGTCAATAGAAAATCTTTCATAAAAATTTTGAAGTTTTTATTTATTTATATAATAAGACATATATATATTTTTTTTAAAAAGATTCGACGAGCTAAAAAAATGTTTTTGTCAATATCTCTTGTTTACAGAGTACATAATTCTAGTAAAACATATGGTAGAAAATAATAACATTGCTAAAAACCTCGCTTTAGCTATTTTTTTAAACGGACTAAAATCAGAAATATAACCTCGATTTAACTTTCTAATTTTTGAGAAATCTTGAGGCTTAGAAAATATTTATTTAAAACCAAAATTATGATATAATCGTTTCTAAAAAATTGGCTAAATTAAGGTTTATAGATAATCTCTCGTTATGTTTTTGCGGTAAATATGTTCGCAGAAATGCATTGACGATAATATTTTTATCGGCGATACATTAGCAAGAATGCATCCGCGATAATGTATTCTCGGAAATGTCTTTTTACTCTAGTCAAGGCGCCATTTAGGAAAAGTTTCCAGGGTATAATTATATTATCATGCGCATAACTTACTCTACACTTTCTGAAAAATTCTGCATCTGTGACCAAATTCAGCCCACAACATTCTGTCTGGACTGAACCAGGTTAAAATTTTATAGTCTAAGCTGGCCAGGTTATAATGAACTGAATCCTTATTTATCCTGAACAGGGATCATTCAGTGTTTTAAGAGGATTCCTCCCTGAAAATATTCAATTTCTACAAATTTCTACATATTTTATATATATATAATTTTTAAAAGTAAGGTAAGAGAGGTGTTAACGGCGACAATTATATCTTTTAGGTTTAAATATTAATAATTATTGTTAGTTTACAAAAGAATAAATGCTAAAAAATAATATTTCATTTTCCCTCGGGGAAATATTTTGCTATAGTTATTTTTTCCCCCTTATTCTCTCTCTTTACTTTAATTATAGTTTTATACAATATTACTTAATATAGTTATAAATATATAATAATACAGACTGGGTTCGGCGATGTTATAATTAATTTTTTGAATTTCTTTTATTATAAAAACTTATTATTTTTGTATCAAAATATAATTAACAAAATAATAATATAATATATAAGAATAATAAAGTAAAATAATATAAATGTGTAAATTGAAGTTTATTTTATAAAAATTTAATTAGGGTCAAACCTTGAAATGATTATTATTATATATTTAATTTATATTATTATAAATAACATTAAAATATAATAATTATGTTATTTATTGTTAACAAAAAAAAAATAATTAAAATCGATTAAAAAAATTAATTCATATTTAATAATGTGTACCATTTGCCGAGCAGTTTGGATAATTTATTTTTTAATGTTTAGGATTATGAATTGGCCACACAAATGTTAAAAATACGTTAGAAAAAAAATAATATAGTGTAGTTAGTTAGTGGGTTTGTCTTTTAGAAAATTTGAAATATTGGTTGATAAAGGATTATATTTTAATGTAATATATGAAAATAGTCAATATTATTTTTATTATTTTTTTTTCTAAGGAAAAATATCATAAATAAAATAAATACAAAAAATAAAAATTATCATACGGATGCCTATCATTATCGTATACATAATAAAATAATATTAAAGAAGCTATTTTTTTCCAATAAATGACATCTTAAAAAATGAAGTTTTGATTTTCAATTTTTTATTAACTGAATATAAAATATTAGAACTCATCTAAAAAAAAATTACGATTACAATTTTCGTTACTTATAAAAAAAAGGTAACGATAAAGTTATCGTTATCCGAAAAGAAAAGTTAATAGTTATGGGTACTTAATTAATTTAATGGTTATTATGTATCTCCATTACATAATTAAATTGAAATAAAATAATATGTAAGAATGAAAATTTGAAGAATATAAATGATGAAGCATATTGGATCGTAAATTTAACTTGATCGAATTCGCCTGCATAAGGATGTCTTCTTTATTTGTGGTATGTACCAAAAAAAATGTCGGGAGTTAACATTTGTATAGACTATAAAATTTTTTCTTTTGTTTTTTTTACTAGTAAGGGGAGAACGGGGATTGTTTTATCCCGGGGCAAGTAATTTATTCTCAAATAATTTTAAAACTAATAAACTTTAGTATATGAAATTTAAACTTATAGATGTGTTTTAATAAGAAGCTACAATGTTTCTAAAAATGTTTCGCGGATATATGCTCATGAAAGGTTTTAAAGGTAAATTTAAATTTTAACACATCAAAAGAAACTTTTATATTTTTTGCATTTTTATTAATAATTATGTAATTTACTCAGAATAAATATCAATTCTAAATGAGAGAATTATCTTAATTTTATAATGTATAAAAATATTGTCAATATTTATGGCAATGGGCAATTTTTGGCGGGGTGCATATTAACCATTTTTAAATAGAAATTTGTTTTTAATTTAAAAAAAATCCATCTATATGTACTAGAAACTAGAAAGAAGTTTGTCTAGGGTCACGAATGACAATATGAAGATGGGTGACTTTTTTTGTAAATTATATGACAGTCTTAAATGACTGCAAGTTTTATTTGAGTTGATATATATAATATCGATGAACCGTTCAAATTTAACATATTTTAAAATGAATTACATTTCTTTACTTAGGATAAACATTTTTATGAAATTTTAAAAAATAAGAGATATATATATGTAAAGGGAAAAAAACTACTTTTAAATATTTTCGGAAAATTTGCTTCGTCTATGTTTTATAGCATTTCAATTTTCTATGGATAATATAACCCCGGTCTCCTCTTCTAGTTTTTTTTTCTTCATATTTTGACGAAAATTGATTTTAAAAAAATTTGTTTTTATATAGGTTATCCTATTTTTGTTAGTTTATTTTTATTTTAAAGAGATAGCTCCTTTTTCTTATTTTTTTTTGCTAATTGATTGATTGTTTGGTTTACTATTGGTTCTCATTCCTACTCTTTTGTGGGGAAAATGATATTAAATACAACCAATCTATGGCAAATATTTAGATATCGTATTTAGTTGGGAATTAGATTCCACCTCGTGACTTGTTGCACTTTTTCACAAAATGTGACAATTTTTCACAAATTTGTGACTCTAACACAGCTTTTTATTATATAAAGGATTCTGATTTTTCGTTGAAGAAATTATTTATTATTTTTTGATATTTTAAAAGTTTTGTTAAGCAAATTTTATACATTTTTTTAAATATTAGTTTTAGAGTATATATACAATAAAATTTTTAAACTAAAATAAAAATATTCGTGACAAAAACTGATGTTACATTAAGTTACTCGTACAAATGTATTACAGAGCTCTTAGTTATCAAAATGATAGAAACCAGAGGAGCGTTTAGATTTGAAAAAATTAGTATAAAATGAATGTCAAGTTAAAAGATTATTTTACACTTTTGTTTAGTTAATTATTTTTATATATATTTAATAATGCTGTTCATTATTCGAATCTACCTCTTATGATTGGTGTGTTAGAACAGATATTTTATTTATTTAGCTTTATTGTTCCAACATATATTTTACTTAAGAGTAATCATTTAAAATAGGACTAAAGACCGATATATTAAAATTGAAACAGGAATAAAAACCGCCAAAAAAAACAAAGTAGATAGAAGAAGGTTATCACATCTTTTTGCTTTTATAAAACCCGTATCTAATCGATGATGGGATCATCGAAGACCATTTTATGAAAATTTGCCACGTCCAATTTTTTCCCGGACCGGAAACAAAGACGTAAAATTCTAATTTTTTAATCCTCGACGCTACGGGTTTAATTGGGATTTAAGCTTTATAACAAAAATAAAAGTCACATGTAATTATAATTATAAAATAATAAGAAACAAATTATTTTTATATTTTAAATTTAATTTTGAATTAAAATATGGCGGATAGAATAATATGGCGCCTTGATTTTTCTTAAAATAAAAATCTGTGCCAACCAAAAATCATGAAAAACAAAATCCAAACGAATCTCGTTGAATAAATAAATTTGAGTTAAAAGTTTTTCGCGAAACAATTTTTCTGTTGTTTGAATAAAAATTTGCATAAATTAATTTTTTTGCAAATCAGATTAAAAAACAAAGAATCAATTTTAATAATGATCGGCAAAACCTGTATGACTCTCATATTTAGTCCCGTCTCGCGAGCCAACTGTTCTCGGATGTGCCGAGTTGGCTTGGGAGTTGCGGAAAAGGCTGACTTGAGCGTTTCGAGCTGCTTAGCTTTAATAGTGGTGCGAGGTCCGCGTCTTTTGTTGTTATTGCTACTGTTGTTGCAATTGTTGTTATTGGATATGACGCTCCCATTGGACATGCAATTATAATAAGCCATTTGACCTCCGCCGTCAACCCCCACGTTATTATTATTATGATTATTGGGGTCAGAAGGATCGTAAGATTCTAGATTAGCCAGCATAAACCTACGACTGGGAGTGTTCGAAACACCGCTCATTTGCATTTCGCTAGGGGCGTCTCTGGAGTACTCGTCATCTTCGCTCATCTCTTCGTACAGCAGTTCCTCATCCTCTCCAAAATCCATTTCGCCTTCTTCGTCATCCAACTCATCCTCATCATCTTCCTCTGCCTCATCTGCATCCTCAAATTCTCCTTCATCCATATCTACTTCGTCATCTCTTTCTTCTTTGTCACAACTCATGGCATTTCCTTTATTTTTAATTATCTCCGCATCACGACTGTACGTATTTGACCCTATTCCGACCGTGTTTCCTCCCTGTCTACTATTTGGATTAATATTTCCGCGTTCGATAGAATCTACAACTGGTAATTTATAATCACTCAATTTTTCCGGGTCCTTGATGGTTTTTTTGTATTCATCGTCAAAGGTAGTAAGGTAGGATTGGTCTCGATTTATAAGCGTGACGGGTAACATTACGCTTTTGGAGTTTGTCTCGCGTGCCTGTAGCTCGGCTTCTGTCAAGAATTCCGCTTTGGGTATTTTGTTGTTATTATCCATCGTCGTTATTTGATTCGAGCATTTATTTTGCAATATGACTAAAGATGATTCTACTGTAGTTATTTTTTCATTGTCCAAAAAACTGTGTTGTGAGTTTATATTTTGCGCGGGAGGCAAAATGTCAGCGATGATGGACAGATTCGAAAGTTCTAAATCTTTGGTTTTCTTTTTCTTTTTAATCGTGTTCTTTAGCCCACCATCCACTTTATCGGGTTGAGTATTATTATTATAATGGACAGAGGATAGGATGCCCTCTTTTGTATCGATTTCGGAGTTACTATTACTCTTAGTGGCGTAATCATATGATGGGAAAGATGGAGGCATAGTGTCGTGATATAGAGTATTAGGATATTCGTTTAAATTATTGCCGGATCTTGATCTATCTCCCATATTCGTGTAAGTCGCTTGACCCCTCGCTCTCCTCGCTCGCGGCTTGGCTCTTTTAAAAATTTGGGACGACGTGTAATTAGCGGCATAAGATCTTTTCATATTTATGCCGTTAATTATCGATGATTGGGAATTGTTATTCAGAATAAAATTGCTAGCCGTCAATTTTTGTTCGTTGTCTTAATTACAAATAAATTTATTCCACTTGCTTTACATTGAATTTCAATATTTTTAAAAAAAAATTAAACGACTCGCACCAACTTATCTTATATTCTATAATTTCTTTTTATAAGATTCTTTTTAATTTTAAGAAAGGGAATATAAAAAATATAGCTATGTTTTTTCCGTGCATTATTCTTTTCAAATTCAAGTCATTTTTTGAGCGCGTTTTTATCAATTTTTGCCATGAACTTTTGAATTTAATATAATTTATATTAGTTTTTCCACAAATATTTTAATTTAAATTATAAATGAATCTAATGTTAATGCCAAAATTGTGTAAAATTCAGAAGATAGGGTATATATGCTAAACATGCTATAATACACTTCTGGTAAAATCAGATTTATAAATTTAAAATAAACGCGCTAAATTTGAAAAAATAACACGCTGGGGCGAAAGAAGCAAAATAATTGGAGACATTAATATGGGGCCCAAAATTAAAAAAATCTAATTAAAACGACTTATTTATATTCTATAAATAAAGATATATTATTTTTTTTCTTTTTATCTAGCCACATAAATGGATTATAGTGTTGTAAACGAACGCGATCGCGTTCATGAACGAAGTTCGTTTTTTTTAAAAAATGGTGAACGGCGTTCCTTTTATTTTTGACGAACTTTGAATATGAACGCGTTCCTTTTTTTATGACGAATGCGTTCGAATCTAACGTTCGGTCAATTTTAAAAACACCTTTTATTTTTATTTATTTGAAAAATTTAATATTAATCCAAATTTTTTTTAAGAAAAATGTCTTATATTTTATACAACTGTTTTTCCTTTTTCACATTTCAATTTTTTTTAACACACCATTATTATAGTTAATTAATTTAAAAATTATTGTTTATATTTTAATTTAATTGATTTGCATAAGCATGGATATTATGTTTCATCATTATTATCTGATTCTGGAAATTCAAAATCAGATGAATTGACATTACCATGGTACAAATATGATAAATATTTTACAGTAACATCCTTCCTATATTGAAGGAACTAATTCAATACTTTCCAAATGTAAAATGTGCCCAAAAAGTATTAAATAGTTTCAAAATCTTCAAGTTCCAATTTAAAACGACATTTGATTATAATATTATTTATTTTATATAATATAACTAAGTTAGGTTTAATATTAAAAAAAATTAGTGGTCTAAATTTTGATTAATTACTGATAGACGCAATTATTAAATGGGATTAATAAAAATATTTAACCTATTACTATCAAATTAATTACTTATATTTTATTTCTTTAAAGATTTGAACATATATATATGAAGATCAATATGTTCTTTCTGCAATTACCAATATTCAAGCTTCAATGACCATAAATAAAACTTCTTCAGAATGAACCTACAAAAAATAAACTTATAGCGTTGAAAAAATGCATTGAAAATACTAGAAATGTTAATGCAAGAACTGTTAATTTCGAGATACTTTTTTTAGACGAGTAAGTAAAGTATAGATTGGAGGAGGATAACTTATCTCAATTTTTTGAAGCAAGGATAAAAAGATAAATGTTTTTAATAAATTTCCCACATTAAAAGAGTTGTTTATTAAGTATAATACTGCAATCCCCTCATCTGCCCCTGTTAAGCGCGTTTTTAGTATAGCTAATGCCTTATTAACTGCTAAGTGTTCTGTCTATCAGATGAAAATTTTGAAAAACAATTGTTATTAAAATTTTATAAAAGATATTTTTTATAAATAAAAATATCTTTTTATTCACTATATTATATATAATTAAATTATCAAAATAAAACTATATATGGCTAATATATTGTTTTAAAATATATAAGACATTTATTTAATTAAATTAAATTTAAAAAAAATTTATTATAAAATTTTGAACGGAGAACGCGTTCCTTTTTTATGAAAGTGAACGCGAACGTGAACGCGTTTGATTTTTTTTAGAATTTTTACAGCACTAATGGATTATGAATATTTGAAAGAAAAAGTATTTATTTATTAAACATTAAACCTAAATGAATGCCGTAAAAATCGTCCTTGCATATGAATTGATTTTCATCTAGAATATAAAGCTCCTCACCTGTACAAAGTTGTTTCCTACATACCATACACGTGAAACACTTTATGTGAAAAACCTTTGATTTTGCTCTCCTAACAAGATCTGTTGGACTTATCCCGTTACCACATCCGGAGCATTTCGTGCCATATCGTCTGTAAACAAAAAAATGGAAATATAGTTTACACTATAATTTAAAACAAATAATGATTATATTATTCATGTAATAGCGGTTCAGTTAGCAAGTTTAATAATAAAATCATCGAAGGCGCGTACGCAGGAATTTGCTCTGGGTGGGAAGGGGGGGGGGAGATAATTAAATTTATTTATAAAAATTATTCTAGGGGTCATTTAAGAATAACTTAAGTTTTATAAATATTAAGAATTGTGACTAGGGTAGTTGAACTACTCGATTTAAGACGATTTTTAAAAACGGCGAACTTAATATTTTATCCAGAAAAATATTATGCAAAACTGAAGATTTTGCTCATAGCACAAGGATTTGAAAATTTATTAGTGAAATATTTTTGTGACAAAATCTTGAGTTAACCGTTTTTAAAAATCGGCTCAAATTGAGCCATTTAACAACACTACTAGTGATTATAAAAAATTGGCAATTTCTAATACACAAATTTAATTATAAATTATATATAATCGGCATATGAATTTATATAAAATAAATGTCTCAAAAGAGAACATTGTAAAAAAGGATAAATTTATAAACATGGAAAATTTGATATATAAATTTAAATTATTATATAGTAGAATATTAATGCGCAAAAATATTCTTAAGAATATTGCATATAATAAATTTCCAAATAATAATGAAAAAATATGGGGTATCAAAAAATTAGTGTTGTTATACGGCTCGATTTGAGGCAATTTTTAAAAACGGCCAACTCAATATTTTAGCCAGAAAAACATTGCCTAAACCTCGATAATTCGGTAATGGGTGTTCAAGCCCTTGTGCCATCTATGAGCAAAATCTTCCTGCTTACGTAATATTTTCCTCTATAAAATATTGAATTAGCTGTTTTTAAAAATCGGCTCAAATCAATCCGTAATTAAGAAGCATATATTATAAATTTATAATGTAAAATTAGATATTCATGGAATTGAGTTAATTTTTCAATGATTTTATAAGTGCTTGGTGTTAACTCCCGATGTATATTAAGAAGGGCTAACACCAATCCTATTTATTTTCAGAGGTAGTACTTCTTGTAATATAGATAAATGGCTCAATTTGAGCATCTTAATGCGATTAACCCTTAATATTATCAAGAAAAATATTAAGCAAACCAGAAAATTTTGCTCATGGCACAAATTTTTGGACTAGAGGTCTGTAATGTGCAGGGTTTTAGCCCGCCCACGCACGCCTACCTATACGTCTGGCGGGCATGGTCGGTTTTTCTTAAATATTTTTAACATTGGGCTAGTAGCAGGAGGGGGGAGGGGTTAAAAAAAATTTTTAAATAATGGGCCTTCTAAATTGTAGAATATGTTAACTTTAAAATATACCGTCGTCACCACTGCAAAACCTCGTAAGTAGCATTTTTGAAATTGTACAGGAGAGACAAAAAACTATTTTAACTGTTATTATTATAATTAGAAAATGATACTTATTAATGAATTTTAACTTTCATTTATAATATACTTCTATTAGAATGGTTTTTTTTAAAAAAAATTCACATATGCGACCCGCGACCCCCTATGCCACTTACGAGTTTTTGAATCTTTTGAAAAACAAATGATTTGTAAAAAATATCAAGTTACCAGGTTTTGATGCTTGTTTTTTCTTCGGTTTAATATTATAAATAAATTAGTTTTTATTGGTTATTAAGACATTATTTTTGAGAGATGATAGCTAGTTTATTTATAAACCCAATTATCCAAAAAAAGTATTTTAAAAAAATGATACTTATGAGGTCTTGCAGTGGTGACGACGATAATCTTAATGACACATAATTTTTTTTAACAAAAATCTTGATTTTTATTTTATATTTTGTTCAAAAAAAAGGAAAAAAAATAATTTGTATTAACAAAACATTTAGAAATGTGAAAGCTTTAAAAAAACACATAGTCATATGCTTTTAGGTATAGGAAAACATTAGGAGTTTCCTGAAAAATTTAGGATCAATATTTACATCGTAAATTAACCGATTTAAATGATAACATAATAGTATGAATCGAGTGCGTGATTATAATCCAGGAGGGGGGGGGCTTACTCAGCATACATAGTATATTATTGAATTATTTTATAATAGTCATCGAGATGGGCAACGTCATTAACTTAGGGTTGGTGGTGCAAAAGGTTCTGAGATAGACAAATACCTATTCCAACTTAATTCTAAATGATAAACAAATCTTAGTATTATTTAGGTTTTTCTATTTTTATGTCAAATATCATGGAGGAATAATAAATAAATATAATATATTGAAATTTTTTTTGAATCATTTTTTAAAAACAAAAAAAATAGAATTAATATTTTGAAAAATATATGTTATGATTATTATTTTATTACTATTAGGAACGCATGAATGCATTAAAATTAAAACCATCAGTTTCCATATTTTATTCTTTTAAAGAATCTTCCTTATCTTAGGATTTAAATCTTTTGAATATTTTTATTACGATAATGTATAAAATTCAATAAAATATAAACATTATTTTAATATTCATAAAAATATTCAGTTTTTTAATACATAAATAACTAAAAATTGATCTTTTTAAGTTTTACAATAATCATAAATTTTTTATTCCCTTTTTAAATATATTTCGGAATTTATATGTTATATTATATATGGTAATAGGAAAAAAAACCCCGGAAAAAAACCCCCGGTGAAAAATCCACTAGGAAAAAAACCCCATGGAAAGAAATTTTTAAAAAAAAGAAAATCGTTATTTTTTAAAAATTCTTGTCAAATTTTCTTAAATTTTTTTCTCAATTTATTATTTTCTTCCAATTTTCGCTTTAAGTCATTGTTAATCTTTATTTTTCTAACCTTTTCTCAATTTTTTTCTTCTCAATTTTCACTTAATTTTTTTAGTATAACCTAGCAATAATTAATATTGATAAATAATTTTATAAGCTAATGCCACAATCATTAACAGCTATTAGACTCCAAAAAAAACACCAAATATTACGAAAAAATATTCGAAGTAATAATATCTAAATGTCAAGAACGGGATTTATTTCCTGATCAATTATAAAAAAAATGGATTTCGAAAAGTATGCTATGAGCGCGGTTAAAACTGTCATTGGTATGATTATTAATATGTTAAATTATTTATATTTGTTTTTTCAATTAGGAGATCACATCATAATCAGAGGATGATTTTACCATTTGTGTCAAAGTACCTATAAAAAAATTTAAAAGCTAGTTCTGGAAAGCCAATACAGAATCGATGAAGCCCTAAGCTTCTTTTGTGGCATGATGGACAGCTTAGCATTTGTTCCTTTATGTGATATGGGTGATGCAATGGCATTCCTTAGATCGGTTAATCCGAGTAATGGTAAGGATATTCTTGAATACTTCGATAAAAATTACATAAATGAAGTAAAGGGAGGTCACAAGAAGCAATTCTCAATCTCAGACAGGTCGAATTTGGCCTCGATTTCCTCCAGAAACTTGAATCAAAGCACTCTATCCAACTAATAACTCATAAATAATTAATGCGAAGGTTCGAATCATCGTTTTTCTAATATGGTTGGGAATAAACACCCATCAATCTGGGTATTGATTAAAAAAAATGAAACGCGAGGTGGCTGCTGATGAAACCAAACTTGAACGATGGCGTGTAGGTAGTTCACTGACAACAAAATCACAGTGCTTAAACAAAAAAAAATACTGATATTCAAATTGGTACTGGGAAAAAAAATATCCCAGTAAAATAACCCATGTATTACTTGTTTTCGTAAAAATTTTTGCTATAGTAATAAATACAATATCTATCCTTAATTACTACATTAAGTAGATTAAATTTGACAAAATTTTCAATAAGATCTGTTTATTTTATTGATAAATCATTATGATATTATAATATTTTTTTCTAAAATACTAATTTGTTTCTACCTTATATAAATCCAAATAAAAATATACCGATATTATTAGATCTTAAGTAAATTCGAAAAAAAATTTCGGGGTTTTTTTTCCGGAGGGTTTTTCCGGGGGTTTTTTTCCGGGATTCATTATATATTAATAGGAGATCATAAAGTATAAAATTTTAATCTCGTGGCTGATATTTTGAAAGTTTTTTTAGCCCGGCCCGGGTATTTTTGATATTAAGACAGGGCCGGATTTTTGACCTGATTACTTTATTGCCCAGCCCAAAATAAGAAATCGACTTCCAGCCTAAACAAAAAATTTATTCGGCTAGTTCCGGGACTGGCCTGCATGTTTTCTGATATATAATTTTTATATATAATTGAAAGTTAGGATAAATTTTAAGTATATTAAAGACTTTTTAAATTTATGCATAAATGTGGATTATTAATAGTTCACCCTTTTTTTTAAGTTAGGTTCCAAGCCTCCTGATCAAAAACATAGTATATTTTTTTAACCTAATTCATGTCCGAAAACGAATATAAATTGACATTTATACATACACCGGATAGGACCAAATCCCGAAAGTTAGAGAAATCTAAAAGTTTAACCAAATCCTAAATAAATATTAGTTTGCCCGTTTCAATTCGAAAAGGAAGTTTTTTAAAAAAAAAATATGAAAGAAATCCAGACCAATATAAATACTTTCTAACACGGTTTTTATTTATATTTTTTTTTACATATGGAATTGGAATCATTTAATATTGAACAGATAAGCATACTTTTCGACATAGACTGTTCTTAATATATATTTTAAGAAAGGATCAAAGAGGAATAAAGAAGATGATTTTTAAACAAATCCTTGTAGAAGAGAGAGAAAAAGTTATTTTTAAAGGCTATCATTTAAAAAAAAATGAAGAAAATATCTGAAACGGAGGAGGGGAACATACAGTTATATCTATTAAAGAAGCTAAGTTGGTGTTACAATAATTTGAACCGATTTTTTAAAACAGTTAACTTAATTAGCCAGAAAGATATAACCTATGCCTCTAGGTTTTACTGATAGATGTTCGAACCTTTGTGCTATCTATGAAAATTTTCAGGCTTGCTT